AGCAAATCTCGTTTTAAGCTCTCTAGGACTTTCATCTCTAGGCACTCACTAGCATACTCAGAATGTGTATCAATGAGGCAGTTTTGCATGCAAACTTTGAAAACACATCTTTTTGGACTAAGCGCGTACTAACAACTGCGGCAACTTTACACTTCAATTGGTCCGCCTTGAAAGCGAACCTATTCTGAACGATGAGGTAACTATTCTTTATAGCATTATCGAGCGGTCTTGTTTGGTTGAAAGCCGTGAAGATCGTTGACATTTTTCAGCATGTTTGTTACCTAGCATCATTATATCTTGAATACGGCTGTATACAAGCTAGCGATGGGGAAATCAACGATATGGCACTGCAAATCTTTGATGGAAGGAATACCCGACATTTTGTGATGCGAGCTTTCCACAATACACATGTGATCTGGTCAGTCCATTTTCAGCAGTCGGCCATAGAAAACGTTACAAATTCTCAGAACTTTGTCAAGGAATTTCTTCAATATGTGATTACAGATACCCTACTTTTCTGTGTTTTGGTATCTTCTCGCGGAGTTACTGTGGGTGTACGGGCAGTAGAAAAAGGGCAGATCTGCCTCTAACTTGGCATGAGGGGGTGTCTGACGTGCTCATCACATAAATTTCGTCCTTTCGCAAGATAGGTCTTTTAGTACTATTCCAGAGTACCGACCCAAATGGAAATCTCCGAAAACACTGAACCCTCGTGGAGGAGGAGGTTATCAAGCATGTTTCTCACGAATAACATTATTCGGCGCTATTCCACTTGATACAACCCAAAAATTGAAAATCACGGATATCGCTGAAAACTCGCTTTAGGGGTATTCGACCCGCTGATGACGAAAATGATGCCCATTTTGTGTGGTGGGTGGTGGGGTTCTTTAAGGGGGCAACGGTAGGCATGCGTTATGGAATCAAAATCTCAGAATTCTAAAAATTTGCGTAGGAATTTATTCGACACGCTGATCACGAATATCACACTTTTTCCGCGCGAAAACCTCTTCATGCATGGTTACGGTGGGTGTAGGGTAGGGGGTCAAAACCTAGGTCTGGCTGGAGTGGTTTGGTCTGTAGGGGCTATTTAGCACGCTGTACATGGATATCATATAGCCTTTGTACGTTAGCGTCACTTTCTCGAGGTACAGTGGGTACACGGCACATCAATGGAAACTTCAAAATTGCTCAAAATGTTGCCTAGAAGGGTTTTTAAGCATGCTGATACCGTAAACCCATCATAAGGAGTTTTAGAGAGAAATGAATATAATATTGGTGGTTAGCATGTCGAATACTCCCTCGTCTTCCCAACGCAATGTTTTAGCGAATTTGAGATTTTGCTCATATACCGTATGCCTAACGTAACCCCTCAAAAAACGCCTCACCATGCAAAATAGATATCATTTTCGTGATCAGGAGGTCGATTAACTCCTTTGAGCGAATTTTCAGCAAAATCCGTGATTTTCAACTTTTGGGCTGCTTCAAGTGGAATGATGCCACATATTCATCTGTCACGTTAGCACATTATTACGGTGGATACGCATAAACTCGGAATCCCAGAACCTACTGAAACTTCGTCCAAAGGGGATTCGACTGATCACAAAAATTATGCCTTTTCGCACAGCAAGCCCGGTGAGTTGCGGTATGCAGGTACTGTGAAGGGCAGTTAGGATTTGATAGCAATTTAATTATGTAAAGCTTGTACTAGACCTCTTTCTTAGGTCTTAGACCAATTTAGATCTCAAAAATCCACAAAGCCTTATTATGCAGATGAGCGCAATATACGTGACAGAAGGTCAGACAACTTCCACAAAGTTCCGTACGACTGGACCCGCTTTGCCGCATGTCTACCGTGACTTTCCTAAAAGTCTTTTTCGAAAGGCAATGATATCAGTGTTCAGCGTGTCGTATAGTCACTCTAGGCCGATTTCCACCCAAATCTGCGACCACGTCCCCATACCGCATCTCCACCGTAACTTCACAACAAAACGCTACCATGACGAATAGAATTTTTATTCGTGACCTGCATGACTCTTTAGGCAAAGTCGCAGCGACCTATCTTAAGGAATGCACATGGTATTCGGATAATACGTCGAGTAACCCATGCATAGTTCCAGCATGATCTGCCTTCACACACACCGCAAAGGCCATAACATGGGAGATGAATATCATCTCCTAATCAGCAGGTCAAATGAGCCCGAAGAGAGAACTTTTAGTAAAATTTGTGATTTTCAGTTTTTGTTCGAACTAAGTAGACTATGCCTCCAATGTTTGTAGCTTACAGCATAGCGTACCTAATGAAATGCTTAGTATACAAAACATCACTCATAGTAGTGAGGGATTGCAAATGAAAGTTTTCAAAGAATTTAAAACAAATTCTGCTTGTTAAGATGCTCGAAAAAACGAGAAGAGATGACGCTTTAAACAAGATCTGCGCTCCAGTCGAAGTATCCCCAGCTAAAGGCGGATTTACAGTCATTCGTCCTACTTCAGCAGGGTGCGACACAGTTGTAGGAAAAGCGCTAGCTACGGCAATGCATTATCGGCCCCTGCACCCCTGCCCCGCCCCCGCTAACTATATAAGCGACCAACTAGGGAAGGAGGGTTGGTCGAAGTGGCCTTCTAAAATGAATTGTACACTGCCTTGTAGACCTTGTAACGCTGATTCCAAATCTACCTTTGCTATCTGCTGCGGGCTTCTGGGCGACGAGTTATGAAGGTTTTTGGTGCAAAAATAGGGTAAAATCAATCGTAACCTTTTTTCCAATGTTCAAATGTGGCAGCAGCGAATTGATATATTTGAATCAAGAATGTTGCACCGCCGAGTGAGCCGACTACCAGTTAAGCCCTATAAAAAATGTTACGACTGATTTTAGCCTACTCTTGCATTCAGATTTTTACTCACAAAAACCTTCATAACTCGTCGCCCAGAAGCCCGCAGCTGATACAAAGGTAGATTTGGAATCAGCTTTCAAGCTCTAAAAGGCAGTATACATCCCATTTCAAAACGCCACTTCGACCAACCTTCCTTTCCTTGTAAGTCCCGCCCCCCAAGAGAGAGAGAGTCAACGAGCTAACCGGCTCCGGCCGGCTCAGCTGGCCGTGACAGCGACAGATAATCATCCACTCATTTTCAGATCTATTTTATGTGTATCTCCCTTCTTCGTTGCCCTCCTTCCTTCTACCTATGTTCGTTACATTTTCAAGTTTCTCTAAATTCTTAGGTTTCTATCGATGTAGTATGAACTTCATTTCACATCCTAGCTATGTCTGTTGTACTCCATTCTACACCCTTTGTGCTGCCCTATAATATCCTTTCTTGTTAACAAACCTTTGATTTGAGAAAGCTATTACGATAAGTGGGGAAGAGTGGCCGTACAAAAAGGTTTAACATTGTCGTTACTGAATTAAAGTCACTCTTAAGTAATCTCCAACAAGGGTTAAGCATTATTATATTACACAGTCAATCTCGAGTCATTTGTAACTTAATATGTGAGATTGCACACTGAGCCCTGTTAGCGACGGTGCCCATACTAGTGACTTCCCAGTAAAACATTTTCTAGCCTAACAAAATGTAGAAATGTGTTCTACTAACTAACATATAACCAACTAAAACAACAGAAACAAGGAAACAAGGAGGAATCACTGGAAATGAGCAGATTCTAGTTTCACAGTTTGTCACTTAGCGTGTATAGTGTGCACTACGCATATTAAGTCACAAATGACTCGAGGATATGTTATTTGGTATCTTGGAAGAAAATTAAGTCGGCGTCCGCGACTTCGCTACAACAAAAAAAAACTTTCAATGATAACCTTTTTATCCTTCTATCATACTGCGAAGCTTTTTAATCATCTCTCCAGAACTACAACTGTTCGCAACAACATATACCCTCGATATCATCCCATATGTCTTCCCTCAACATGAGGTGGATTACGTGGCTTGATGAGGCGCCGCCTCGCCTCGGGCTTGCGCCACGTTGCGTGCGCATTTTCGGCGTGGTGTGGCAACAAGAAGAACGTGGAAAAGCCTGCGCCACGTTGTGTTGAGCGCCACGTCGCGTCAAATGATGCGCTCGCAACGTGGCGCGAGCCCGAGGCGAGGCGGCGCCTCATCAAGCCACATAATCCACGTCATGTTGAGGGAAGACATATGGGATGATATCGAGGGTATACGTTGTTGCAAACAGCGCACACGCCACCTCAATTTCCGCCCAACGTGACGCCAGAGGACATCAGTTTACTAGTTGGACGCGTCTTGCTGAAGCAGGCAGTCCTGGTCTGGCGCCTACCTGACTCGCATCAACGAAAATTGGAATATGTTTTGAACTTTGGATGCGTATAATGAACACTCTTTACTGTGGATTTTGTTTGCGTTTTGCAAATCTATGTTCTTGACATTTCTTTCTTCTCAATCAGATCTGGGCTAACAGTGGCTTGTCAAAGCTGAATTATGACAAATGTCGATAAATTTTAGAACGTGCACATTTACACGAGATGTTCCTTTTCTTTCCCATAAAAAAATACATTCCTCAACTCTCGAAAAACCTTTTCCACTTTGTCAATATCTCTGTCTTTCCTAATTTTTGCACAAAAGCTTTTAAATTCAGTATCTCAGAGATGCGGGAGAAATTGGTTCAAGACGGCTAAAATGAATGATTGGATGATTGTGATAGCGATTGCGACATCCTATGCATCTTATTAGTCATTCGCGCAAATACCCCACTCTACTGCGATTGTCATGGACGTGAGCAGACTTAGCAGACCAGACTAGCTTTGAGTTCTTCTTTGTGCATTCAAAAGTGAAGTGAAACAAAGCAAATGTAGTGGTTTCTCGCCGTTCGCTCGGCATGTTCGTAATGGAATTCTTCGCGTTCATTGTGAAAAGTGGTTTGAAAAACCACTTGAGTGCTTTTCAATTCAGTGCGAGTAATTTCAGTGCTTGAAAGTAAGTAATAAGCTGCGTTCAAGTCATTCGTATTTTTTATTAAAAACACGAGAAACATTGTTCCCTCATAGCTCGCTTTATTTGTTATCACTCGGCTGGTTTTGCATCTGGACATCGGAATCATAGGATCCAAACAGTATATAGAACATTCCTTTGGCAACAATGAAACTACAAGATAGAATATTCTGGTACACGTGACCTTTGTCCTAAAAAGTAATCAGTATCGTTTTTATCAAGTGCGTCTTATATTCCTTACTTCTCCCTGAACGTGCTTGAAAACTAGCTGCATTGTTACGGCAGCAATGCCAGCATAAGTGAGCGTCAGCAGGAAGTATACAAATGTCAGGTATCCTGTGATCAATCCCAGCAAGAAATTCACGCCAACTGCCGCACCCACTGAGCCGCCAAGCAATGTAACACGGTTTCCATTTGCTGAAGTTGAGATTGCCTGAAACGTGGTCTCTGCTTTTCTAATCTTTGGAACTAAGCAGAACCCAAAATTGTACCGCAAATGATACTGTGACTATTGCAGGAGTGAGTACTGCAAATGGCGTAGCGCTCAAATAAAGATTATTGACTACGAATCCTGTTAGCACTCCTTGGACAATCGCCAACGACAACAGTTGAAATCGAATAGTGACATCATCACCACCGGACTGAAATTCATCGGTTACCTTGTGTGTCGTTAAACATTGTGCTTATCATAAGGCTTGCTGCAAGACGATGGCAGACTTTTCGTGGGAACGGAACGGGCGTAGACCTATGTTATGATTGAATTTGTACTCAAAGTGAGTAGTAGCGCAGCAGTGAAAATACCAGGCAAGGATGCCATTATAATGAATCAGCAAAAGCGTTAATTTGGATCAAGTGTTTATTTTGCTTAAAAATTTATCCTACGCGATCGCAGTCATGATCACATGCGTACCAACGCCTAGTAGAGGAGGTGTGGAGCATTGCAAAGCGCAAATATCACTGTATTTTGCAGCTTTAATTTCAATTTGATCTATACTTGATATGATCGTCTGCAGTTACAGTCTGCCCCCATCCCAATCAGGCCAAAATTGGGATGGCGGGAGTCCGTGTTGCAAGGGCAGTGCGTCACGTCTACGGATAGCTATTTTGCCTCTCCTCAATCTTTTCGCTCTCTGCAGTCCAGTCGTCGTTTGGCCTAATCCTTGGCATACTGTACCCCTCTGTCGCATTTGGAAAGAGTTCAGCCCAAGCGGCTCGAAACTTACGACCGCCTTGCTTGGGCTCTGCATCTTTTTCGCGAACCTGCTCTCTGATTATGTTTCTCACGCTATGGCGAGGAGAAGCCGAGCTTTAAACTTTAATTAACCGTTGGAAAGCGGTCACGCAAGATTCCAGTCCTTGGGTCGGGCTCACTCTAAATGAGACAGAAGGAATTCCGTTGATGCTACTCACATGCTTAATCTGGTAGTGAGCATATAGGGGTAGCGCAACAAATGCCGCTAATGCGGCACCGAACTTTCCAACAAATATAGAGACTATTGGTCCCAGAATGTATGAGCCAAACACCAGTCCAATATTTGCAAATAGCACCATTATCGAAGACCATGCAAATACTTCGAGTACCGTCCGTTGAGGTGTAGAGACGTCGCTCTGTAGAAAGCACTTATAATGTAACTTTCCACAATGCTAACACTTCATTCTACCGTGTCCTGCACAGCTTCGATAAGATCCTGTGTCTGAGGCTCGATTTGACTTCTTGTATCTTCAATCATTTGCGGTGCACTTTCTCCAAATGCTTGGCCTCGCTGGCGTAAGCCTTCCATAGTTTCTTCCAACTCCATGCGATAGCCTCCATAAACTTCAGCAACGGTTTCCATTATCGTTATTGACGATGTGAACCACGAGTAAGGTAATAAAGGAGCTTACTCGTGCACCGTCTTATATAATATTTGCACATGTCCTATCAAATCAAGGAGTTATCACAAACTTATCACAAACTCCATTTTTTATTCTTTGTTCAAAAGTGAGTTTCATTGAATTCGTTTGATGAAGTTCGCGAAAGATATAATAACAATGTCTTGCTCTACGGAATGACCATCATTTGTCCAATCTCGATGTTCTGGTAACGTTGTATTAGTGCAGGTCGCTGTTTGTACAAGGTGTCCTCATATAGCTTTCACTTTTAGCTGCCATGCCTTCTGCGCTATCCGGCCACTCCGTGCGGTCACTTCGACGCTGCACTTTTTGATTCAACTGGCTTGGCGGCTGAAAGGCGGAGCTTTGTGACCTAATTAAGGCTAGATAGTGACCAGAAAGCAGGCGCGCGGGAGAGAGCAGACTGCGTTGCGGGCGCAAGAGGCCCTAATTAGATCACAAAAAACCACCTTCCAGCCAACAAGCTAGTTGAATCAAAGGTTACAAGCTTATCACACAGCAAACGAAACGCACCAACTTGAAATTGCGAATCAAACGGTCAAAGGAATTTCCGTAAGTCCTATCAAGAACGCAAGAAGAGGATTCGATTACCGAAGAACTTATTCAGCTTGTGTGAACAGATCGTTGCCTCAAAGGCAGCAACATTTATTCCATCTCTCTCACTCTATATGGTGATGTAAGGTGTAAGGCACCTGATCAAAACTTTGCTGTGATATAAGGCAGGCACGCGCAGCTGCAGTTCTACCCCTGTTCTTGGTTGAGCCAGTAGGCCGCGAACTATCAGGAGCCTCAGTTTTTCGAACGAATGTTCGCCACTGGCTATGACGAACACAAATACCATGCAGCAAAGCTGTCAGAACGCAGAAGGACACACATAGTTTGAAGCTCGATTACGCCGCTCTCATACACGTTCGCTTTTACAGCGATAATACAAGGTGGTGCCGACGTTTCTAATACTATTCTAGCTTCATGGTGGATGCATTATTGAATATTTTATAGGTTTTATTGCCTAATGCTTTTTCTTTTTTTTATATTTTGTTGTGTTATCGACCAATGCACAAAGCGCCTATCTACCTATCCTTGCAGAGTATTGCAACAATATATTCAAAGTCACATTAGCGACACCCCGATCAGATCAGAGATAATCCCACATCAAGGATAACACAACCACTTCTGGCTTGCGTTGCTGCTGCGCAGGATATTAAAAAGCATTTTTGCGTTGAAAGGTGTGCGGGGACAAATTTTAGTAATTGAGGAGGACAAATAGTTTCGAGAGATAAAGCGCCAACCAAAACCCAAAATCAAGCAGAAAAGTGCTTAGTCATTACCGATGATGTCACGATTTCAGAGCCTTTGTGGTTTTTTAAGGCCTGTATGCACGTATATCTCCGGGTGGAGGCCCTTCAGAACCCACTCTAATCGCGATGGCTGCGATAGATCAGCGCGTCTTAGAGGTCACGTCTTAATTGGCTGCTTCGATAAGGCAAGCGGTTGACCTAAGCAGGTGGGCTGCGAAAACGGACGAATTCCTCAGTAATAACCTCCCTCCCTCGGACCCTTGATAGAGATGTCGTAGACGCATGATTCAACCGAATGCTGCTATTCTGCTGTCTTACCTAACAAAATCGCTGCTATTTACTAAACTGACGTGCTTCCAATCAAATCTGTGGTATGCGTTTGCTTCGACTACTGAAATACTCTATTTTTGGTTGAGTAAAGTGAGTGCTAGTAACCCTTTTTGCCCATGTGTGCAATCCTTGCTGCATCGTGTATTATCACATTCTGTGAACTAAACGAAGTTTGCAGGGAAAACACACACTTTGGTTTGATTATTGCTGATAACCGAGGCCCGAGATTCTTGTTAGAGCAGTTTGTCGCCAACAGTTTGATTCGGCACCCATAGCGGCCGCATAATTATATTCATGTGTAAACCATACGAACACTTATCAGTTTTGAACCTAGTTCTAAACAAGGAAAATAGCGCATATCACTATTTCATGACTGTAGAGAGCTGAGAAGTTTTAGAATCTGGCTCAGAAATTTGATCTACAAGCAGCGGCTTATGAGCATTCAAAATTCTATGTACAACCCCAAAAACTAGCGAGAAAGGAGAACCGTTTGTGCAAAAAACTAGATGCTACCAAGCAAATGTCTTTGTATTAAGCGAAATTCGATTAGAGCAAACAATAAACTAAAGTGCGGTTCACAATTATACGAACACCCCAAATTTTGGAAGTTCCTGGACTTTTTGACAGAAACTCAAAAAGCCGTTGGTACCACGCGAAAGAGCACAGCCGAAAACGGTATGTCATCCGTAAGAATGGAAATGAATGTTAATCTTAAAAGTGTTTTTGCGCCTAATGCAAATTTTTAGCGGTTCATAATTATACGAACACCTCAAACAAAGATTCATTTTTCATTAAGATTGCAAGCATTCAAGTCCAAATTTTTTGTAGAGTTACAGTAACAAAGTCTGACACATCTGCTACACACTGAACCCAGTGCAGTTCAAAACGAGGACCGTTACTTTTTTTAGAAGGCTCCAAATGTTTTTGGAGTGATTGCGCTTCAAAAACATTAGTTCTTTTGTGGTTTACGCGCTCCGATTAGCTTCTACAAAGCTATGAGATAAAATAAGCTCTTTTGATAGGTATTTTGTTCGACGCTTGGAAAATCTTTGCGTTTTCGTGTCGTTTTTCAACCAAGTTTTAACCTTACCACAGAGTTATCACGATTTCGAGCCTCGAAACTCAGCTTCTGAAGCCGTACAATGAAGTAAGCATATAGTATGTAGAAGTTCACAAGACTGTATATTTGGTTAGAAAAAATCAGCAGCGCTGAGCATTTGTTTTGGCCACGCAGACGTTATTTCACCAAAAATCCTGTCTTTACTATTGCAATCACACCTTTATTTGGTTTGTAGCTCATAGCCTCAAGGTCAGCTCTACAAAAAACCCAAAAACTTTGGCACAGAAACATCATCATGCAAACAATGCAGCTGCTTCTTTATCGAATGTTTGCGCGCTGAGTTTTGAGGCTCGAAATCGTGCTAACTCTAAGGTAAGGTTGAAACTTGATTGAAAAACGGCACGAAAACGCAAAGATTTTCCAAGCGTCAAACAAAGTACCTAACGAAAAAGCTTATTTTGTCTCTTAGCTTTGGTAGAAGCTAATTAGAGCGCGTAAACCACAGAAGAACGGATGTTTTTGGAGCGCAATCACTCCAAAAGCATTTAGAGCCTTCTGAAAAAAGCAACGGTCTTCTTTTTGAACTGCACTGTTCAGTGTGTAGCAGATGTGTCAGACTTTGTTACTGTAACTCTACAAAAAATTTGGACTCCAATGATTGCAATCTTGAATGAAAAATGGACCTTTGTTTGAGGTGTTCGTACAATTATGAACGGCTAAAAATTTGCATTAGGCGCAAAAACACTTCTAAGATTGATATCCATTTCCATTCTTAAGGATCATATACCGTTTTCGGCTGTGCTCTTTCGCGTAGTACCAGCGGCTTTTTGAGTTTCTGTCAAAAAGTCCAGAAACTTCCAAAATTTAGGGTGTTCGTATAATTATGAACCGCACTTTATAAGGTAGCTTGCAGAGTTCATAGAAAACCATCTGTTGTACTTTGAATTGTGGGTCGGGTTGCGTGTGCTTTCTTCTCGACGCATCATGCAGTTCACAACGTTCAATCGTGTGACAATGCATGAAGCAGAAAGGATGCACACAAACAAAATTCGGCAGTAAAAGTAATCAAAATGAGATGAGAAAATTATTCATATAATTCAAATTCAAGAAATTCAAAACAAGTTTCTAAAAGCAAACCTGATTAATACAATCAGGATAAAGTTAGACCGTAGAATAGCAAAATGAAGCAAATAGCAGCTTTACAGAAATGGGACTGGATAAGGTGGAGACAAGGGAATCTTCGAGGTGCGCCGAAGACTTTCGAAAATAAAGCGTTCCGCAGAAGACTCGTCCGCAATGGCCGCAGCGCAAGCGCCCGCGACCTATTGCGGGGTTACTGTAGTAGACGGTGGGTTCAGAAGGGCCGTCTCCCTACATCTCCGCTGGGGAGGGGAAGGGATCTGAGAGGGGATGCGTCATATCTCGCTACTCTACATATCTTTCTTCTTTCTCTATCTTGCCTATGAAAGTTCTCATACACTTTAACGTGCGCATAGTGGATGCCAGGTTACTGCCATACAAGATTGGTTTTTTGCATTTTGTGTGACCCCCTGAGGATCCCCTAGGGGGGTCACCTCGCATTTTCAGAGTGATTTATCTTCCTGAAAAGTCACTGAAAACACTGCAAAATTGTACTGAGGATATACTACGGCACTGCTAAGCCTGTCGATAGGAGAAATGGAATCTGAAGATTGTAAATTTTTAATTATTTGCCCGCGTGCTAGGGATTACCAAAGATTTCGATATCCTGAGATTTCACTTATTTCTACTATAAACATCTTTAGCACTGCCGTAGTATATCCATAGTGCAATTTTACAGCGTTTTCATTGAGTTTTCAGGAAGATAAATGGCATTGCAATTGAGAGGTGATCACCTGGTCTCAGGGGATCACACAAAAAGTGAAAATCTAATCATTTACGCCAGTAACCTGACACCAATTATGCGCACGTATTAGGGTATGAGAACCTTTATGCGCAAGATAGAGAAGGAAGAAGAAAGATATCTAGAGCAGAGGCGCGGTTGTCGGAGCCGAATCTCCGCCTACCTTCACTTTTGAGCTGGTACGGGGTGACCACCTTCACGTTTGGGTTAAAGAAAAATTTTTTGCTGAAGTTTGAAAGAAGGAAAATAAGCAAAAAAACGCAAAAGAAAGTAATGATATCATATATTTATGAAGTAGGTCGATCTACGCAGTAACCGCCGAGAACCAGAATTTCAAATGATAAAATAGCGAAAAATCATGCAAAATTCCCACTGTTATAAATCTGGTGGTCGAAGGTATCAGCATTTGCGACTTTACAGGTTTTGAAGGGCAGTGCTGTTCTACCAGATAGTGAAAGAATTAGGTCGATTAGAGCGGTGGCCGCCGAGAACGAGAATTTTAGAAAATTAAGCGATTTTAAGCCACTTAGTGATAGTTGACTTTAGACTCCTATAAATCTGGAACGTGAAGGTGTGCAATGCTGCAACTTCATAGGATTCGTAGAGTAAGGTTTGCCTTATCAGAATATATCTTAGCCGTACCGATCCATTAGGACATCGCCAAGATTCCAGGCTCTTGAAAAAACAGGTAAAAAAACCGCTTTTTAGAATTCAACAGCTCATAACTTCTTAAAGATTGCGTGAATCATATTGAGACTTTACAGGTTGGATTTTCCTCTTCAAGAGCAAAAATTATATAATGTGAGGGGGAATCGATGATTTTTGCGGCTCTAACCCAGGGTGGAGTCTTTTTACCCCAAAGTCTTCACCTCGCCCATGTTAATGTACTGGCTGGAGACCGCCAGTGGAGACTTTGGGGTAAAAAGTCCCCACCCCCGGGCATATGCCGTGAGGGGTGCGAAACTCCCACATACCCTATGAAGTCGCAACATGATTCATGCGATTTTGAAGAAGTTATGAGCTGTTAAAGCTTGAAAATCGGTTTTTACCTGTTTTTTCAAGAGCCTGGAACTAGAAGCTGTCTCAATGGATCGGTACGGCTAAGACATAATTTGATAGTGCAATCCCTACTCTACAAAATCTATGAAGTCGCAATTGCTGATATCTTCAACCAATAGATTTACAACAGTGGAAATTTCGCATGATTTTACGTCATTTTATTATTATTCGAAATTCTTGTTCTCAGTGGTTACTGCCTAAATCGACCTACTGTCTTCGCAGCACGCTAGAACAAAATTTACTTAATAAAAGACGTAAAGTCTAGACGATTTTTACTGACAAATACATCATTTGATTAACACGTTTGTATCAAATATTTATGCCGCTGTACTCAACATAATTGTGGCCCTAAAGCGGGCCGTTAGATCACAATTCGACCTAGAAGGATAGCTCAGTTTGTCCGTTCTATCCCCCTCCCTCCCCCCCCCCCCCGGCGTTCGACCTTTTTTGGGAGGTGAGTGTCCGGCACTACAACCTTCACTTTTGGCCTGCCAGTGGTAGCTGGAACCACCTTCACTTTTGGAAAACTCGGCTCCACCTATCGCACGTCTGATCTAGAGTAGCGTGATATGACGCATTTGCTCTCAGATCCCCTCCTTTCCTCAGCGGGGACGTACATACGTGCATACGGGCCTAATAATGAAGGGGTTGAAGGGGCTTCGACGAGCTCGCTAAATATCTCCAAAAATCTCAGCTGTTGGCGTAAGTGGCTGATGCACAATACTTATCATTCAAGGCGAGCAGTAAATCATTATACTTTTGCATTTCAATTAAAACTGTTGTTTTTCTAAACTATTGTGCTTCTTTCTGTAATCGACAGGATCGGGGTTACTGATGTGATTTTGGCTTTTTAGAAGATTTTTTGAAAAGGTGATTTTGAAGAAACAAGTCCGCAAACCGCTGAAGCAAAACACATAACAGGGGATCACTAATGCCAAGATTTATTGATTGTTGAACTTGAATTCCCGTGAATAGCAGTTCATCTCAACCGAGATCACTCCAAAAGGGATGAACCTGCTTGCAGAGATGGTCACTAGCGCGCGCGCAGAGCACTACCACGGAGTTAGGGATGAGTAGGCAACAGAGACTTCTCCATTAACACATTCACGACAGCTTGACACACATGGTGTGTCAAGCAATGACTGCCGCGTGGGACCGCTTGACACACCATGGTGTCAAGGTTTGAATTTTGTCAAAATGACTACAACCTTGGGATAAACTTATTCTATGAGCTCTCTTTTGCACTGAATCTAGGGATGACCCTACTTTTTTGTCAGCCTTTCAGATCTACTGTAGGTGTACTGTAGATGGCATTATGTGTAATAATATTTGAGAATTGTGGGCTGATCCGCAAAAGACCTTGGTCTCAGACGGCAGACAACTAAAAACCTGCATGGTCGTCAATGTGTTAAGACTTAACAAGCCAAAGACATGGCGCGAAGAAACCATGGTGATTAGAAGTGCTGTCAGTTGGGGGATCCTGGTTTTGAGACTGTACCACCACAGTCTTTCCCAATCCAAAATTTGAGCTTAGAACCTTGCTGATCCAATTGGTTTTACAATCTCGTTGACATGCACAATCTCTTGCTAATGCACATTTTCTTTTCCACAAAGCTTTGGAACATTTCCACGGGTTGTGCGGGGCTCACTAGTATGTCGCCAAACGATCCGCTGCTTTTATGGATTGATTTTAGGATTGTTTTTGTTAAGAGTGGAGTGGTTGGGCTATGTGCGACTAACACTTCTACTAGTTTATCATTTTTAACGTGGTCTTCTTATATATAAAGCTGAATGTCTGCTTGTCTGTCTGTATGTATGTATGTATGTATGTGTGTGTACGTATGTTCCAAATAGAAAATTCCATTTCTGAACTCCGAACCAAACTTGGCACACATACACTTCGGTCCCCGGCGGGTGTCATAGGCTACTTTTCGTCATCGATCGATATCGATTTTATCGATTTTTTGCAAAATCTGAGCTATGGGGCTGGGAGTTGGTACAGGGGGTAATCGAGCATGCTGACTACGAATAAAATAATGACAGGGCCGGGCGGAGCCGGGTAAGAAATCTAGTGAGCTTATAAAATGAACGAATGATTACAAACTGACAATTTGGAGCTCTGCATAGCCTTTGAGAATCCGCAGAAGCTGCTGCCTCCTTGAAATCAAGTAACGAAATTGTGCAATTTCATCCAGCCAAACATATCATGCAGGAACAGATGAACCTTAAACTGAAAAGACTTTCGGTGGACTACTGCTTGCATGGAGATCGGTCATTTTCTCAGAATTGTTGCCTGACAACTACAACGCTCACCATCACTTGTAGGTTTTGCTTGAAATCACAGGAAAATACGAGGGAAAAGTCTTTATTTGCCTTTTGAGACGTAAGTTGAAAAATCACAACATGTCAAGCACAAGTTTACTTTCCTGGCGCTCCAGGTTGAACCACAGCGCATGTCACGCAAGCTTGATGGGGATTCTGGTAGTAGTTCAAGTATTCGGAGTAGGCAAATGTCGGACAAGGTTGAATTCTGCCCTTATGTAAAGGTTTAGGTCTACGATGAGGAAGTGGACGTTGGAACCAATGGCGGACTCTTGGCGCCAGGTATACGGTAGTTGTAGTAGTCTTCGTGATAACTGCAGGCGGTGTACGACGGATTCTGAAATGATAGCCCGTTTTTTTCTTTTAAGGTGTATACTATTATAGAGTAAGACGTGATCTTTAATGATTTGACCGTACAGAAACCGTGTATTTTGTTTGAACTTGGCATTTCTACAAAGACGGTTGCTGGGGTTTCCCATTTATTTCATTGGACAAAAAGCAAAAGGATTTGCCACATTTCTCATCGTTCATTCGAAATCACTGCTTTTTGTCGCAGTTTAAGTGTACGTGTACACCGCAAAATTTGCCTAACTTCCCAAGGTGGGTCATTTTCTTGAAAAAGTGAACTGTCACACAGACGATGCATTAAGGAATGCAAGTTTCCAAGGTTGTTCGGAATTTCCGGGTGGATGAACAAATTGTCTTGCTTTGCAAAGGCCAATGTTCGAAGCAGAAGGTTTATGTACATTAGCAGGCTGTGGAAAACAAGGATCTAGTTTTACTTTTAATACATAGACTAAGTTACCTGGTACATTTCCACAACTATTCGAAGTCTCAGATTTCGATCAAAAACATACCAGTTTTACCCAAAAACCTTTGTTATTCTTTGTTGCTAATCGTCTTCATCTATTATTGTCAACCACTGATTTGCGTAAGCAAATTTTCGAGTGTCGCAATGTAGTACTCAAGCGAAAACTTCACGCGAATACTGGTTGCTTACTGGATGCAGGTATTACATTGAAAATGTATCTACTGGATATAACTCTGTATGAGGTTGAGAGGGAGTTGAATCCAACACAGCAATGATGATAAACATACACAAATCAAAATATTTAAAAACCTTGAAAGCTGGCTGTTAAGGAAGCAACAACAATTAGATTTTGTTTTTATAGAACAACAATAGAGTGTTTTCTCTGCAAAAACTGCAATTTACTGCATTTCTAATAGGGTGCAGGCCGTTTCGCAGGAAGATAGGCCGTCGGGGCATCTCAAGCAGGACCGCAACCGCACACACACATACGGAGACTGCGAAACCAATTGAAGACAGTCTCTCAGCATATGGGCGCTGGGAATATCTCTCGCAGGATTTGTCACTCACTGACTTCCAGATCCAGTCAGAGCGAATGCTTTACCTCTACATCGAGAAGACAGCACAAATCAGCGCACGCTCGAATGCTTCGCTTACCTGTTCTGCGCGGCCCGCCACGACCCTTCCGCATCGTGCATGCTATCTAGTGCAGAAAGCTACAGGATGCAAGGGTGTCCAAGGCCTTGCGACTTTCCAGTTAAACCTTCGGTGCTTACTTTTGAAAAGTGGGTAAATTCCGGTAACGGGCTTTTCACCCGTTTTAAAATTCGGATTTAGCTTCTACACGACGGAAAGGCTTAACTATGCAGAAAGTGGAAATGGAAAAGTCGCCGGGATTTTGCCTTTAATGAGGAGAAAAAGATTAGCGGCCTGCGCCATAGGTTAGTACAAATCAAGCACGCGGTGTTGTATAGTATCGTGCGAGATGGTTGTTTCTCATTTTTGTCGCCACGTTTTGGCAATTTTTTAGTGATCTTCCAATGCAAGTCTCAAGCGCATAATGTAAATGAGTGATAAATCTATCCAAGGTGCAATACTCGGACAACGGCAATGATAAATAAAAATAGCACTTTCCAGATCGCAAGAGGTATGACAGCTCAAAGATAGTCGGTCTTAACAAGTTAGAGGTTTCTCACCACTTTAATGCTTATAGAAGTACCAGTGGGTCACCTCTGCTTCGCAGAGGCTCGCACTGGCTCCACTATCTAGGCGCTACTCATTCTCGCATAATGATGGCATTGGTACTCAGCGAGCGATGCCGACTATCACGAACAAAATGTGAACAACTACTCATTCCGAAAGCTTTTTTATGTGAAATCGGTAATTTCGCACGGATGAGACTTTTTGCAGGAGAACAAACGTAAATTTTTATAGGTTTTTGATTTTCCGTGGTCTTGACAGTTGCAATAAGAACAGCAGTCACCGTGAGCTACATCTTTGCCAAAAAACTCATCAAATGCTATGGTAAAAGCTTGGCAAACTGACCATTTAAGCAACCAATACTTTTTGGCGCCGTTTTTGTAAAGTAATGGACATTTGATCACTTTTTTGGGCCTAAGTCAACGGCTTGCACATTTACTTGGCATAAACATTCACGACTCTACAAAAAGTAGAATTACGGACCCAGTTTTGGGGGCCAAATGCAAAGTGGATCCGTTTGACTCGCGGTTTCTAAGGGATCGACTAAACGAATCTGCTCGTGCTTTTGCATGTTGGACTTTCATGCGGATAGCATGCACTGTGCAAAATTTGAGCCCAGGGGGTTGGCTGGAACATGCTCTACGAATTTCGTAACAGACACACTCTCACACACACAGACACACAGACACACAAAGTCACGTAAACATCCTTAGCCCGTTATTATAAGTAATGATGCTCGCTTTTGCAGCTTCCTCTATAATAGGGAGCACTTACACGCAACCTCTAGACAGTGGTAAAAGGTGCACTAACAAGGCAATGGTCAGAAGTCGAAGTGGCCAATCAATACAAGCTGCATACCATTCGATCAGCATAGAATGCTGATTTCAAATCTGTCTTCCATATCTGCAGAGCGCCTTTGTAGGCGAAGTTATGAGCAGCTTTACTGCGAAAAAATCGTGCACAAAAACTGCGAAATCTTTTAGCTCTTTTAGCTCAATTCTAGGTACGAGCCATATGAAGTGACCTAGTCGCAAATTTTGGTCCAACACTGAGCCGAAAATGGCTTTGTACGGCCAAGTTTGCCCTTTACACGCACAATTTTTTAGCAAAATAATGCTTTTAACGGCTTATAACTTTGCCTACAAAAGCGCTCTGCAGATATGGAAGACAGATTTGAGATCAGCATTCTATGCTGCATCGAACATATGCAGCTTGCTTGAATTGACCACTTCGATTTCTGACCATTCCCTTGTAAGCTGATCTTTGAAAGAGTCCTTAATGAAGGAAATTACTGAGAGCAACACTTTCGTTTAACATCCAATTCGCTCCGATAGTAGTTATAACTCTTATTTCTTACATTTGAACCCATGATTTCCGTCTTAGCATCCGATTAGCAATATATGCATAAAATTATGAATTATGCAGTTACCTCAGATTTGCCTCGACATTTGAGACGAAAAGCAGGAACAGTAGGAGAACAGCGATCATTGGGAGTTAAAAGAGTCTGAGACTACGATCTGAATCTACACTGAGACAGACAGTAGCAGGTCGCCATTATAAAAAGGTTTCGAACATCAAACGGGTATAAGGACACACTCAGTGACAAGAGTTCATCTTGGGGGCATCAATCACACTTCCTGCTACCATTTATTGTTTTAACGGTGACTGTTTTTCTAGGTAAAAGTCGTCTGTCTATCCATTGTTTGAAGTCTGAGATTTTCGCCGAAAAGCAACTTATTCGCTCACTTCTTTCAGCAAAAAATCATGAACAATAATTTTTGGAAACGTCACCTGACTGTTGTAAAGAGAAGTAAAAGTCAATTGACAGTGATTTAGCACTACTGCAAAGGTACCATTACAATTCTTCCCAAACACCGAATTCATAATATCAATCAATTATCTACCAGACTGATATAAAAGATTGTTACTCCATACATAAAATTTCCTGAGATATCATAGAATGCATATAAATTTTAAAATCTCACCTTAAGAACTAGTTAAAGCTACAACAAACTACGGAGTTGGTGATATGAGTTCCATGACCTAAATTTGGATGAAGAAAGTTTGTGAGAATTGAGCGTTGTGGTTTATCGACGATAAAGAACGACGGCGTTACACAATCTGGTATTTCTAGCTTTCATAATCTTCTAGCTTTTGCTTAGACAGCACAAACACAGCTAAAAAGATAAATCATAGAGCTTATATTGACGCCCAGTGCATCAACTCTGCTTCGCAAAGGCTAGCTGCCTTCATAAAACGTATCACTAAACTTATGTGGTTATGGATTTTTCCATAATCGAGTGACATTTAATGAAGCGAACAAATCCTGTCTGTAACTAACTCTACAATACGTTAAACCATTGTCATCATTTCTCACTGTACATTCGTCATACAGGAGAGGAAGGTTGGTCGAAGTGGCCTTTTGATATGAAATGTGCACTGCTTTGTAGAGCTTGGGACGCTGATTCCAAATCTACCTTTGCTATCTGCTGCGGGCTCCTGGGCGATGAGTTATGAAGGTTTTCATGAGTAAAAATCTGGATGCAAGAGTAGGCTAAAATCAGACGTAACATTTTTTATAGGGCTTAATTGGTAAAGGGGTCACTCGGTGCAACAAATAATCTTGATTTGAATATACCAACTCGCTGCTGCCTCATTTGAACGCTGAGAAAAGGTTACGACTGATTTTACCCCACTCTTGCATTCAGATTTTTACTCACAAAAACCTCCATAACTCCTCGCCCAGAAGACCGCAGCAGATAGCAAAGGTAGATTTGGAATCAGCGTTCCAAGCTCTACAAAACACTGTACATCTCATCTCAAAAGGCCACTTCGACCAACATTCCTTCCCTTGTTAGACCAATTTCACAAACAGACATATTAGCAGCTTAATAGAAGTCGTAATTCTCTTCATCCTTCACGTGGGTCCATCGCTAAGTCGAACCATCCAACAACCATGGATATGAGGAAAGGAATCCGACAGAAGAAACCGTGGCTGGATTGAGTGATACTTATGCGAAAGACAGGAGGGTCCAGCTGAGCAACGCACTTTCAAGCTTTACTGGCAAGAAGATGTAATGGATCTTTGCCAGTGGAACAGTTCCGAAGTACTTAGGCTCCATTATCAAAATCACCTTGAGAAAATCAGCACGGTTTTTGTGAGTTGAACGTGGCAATTGAATAAATAAAATGTTTAATGATTCTGATGATAAACAGGTTCATGGTGATTGGAGAAATGTGAGTTGAACTGTTAGGTGTATCTACAAAGAGTCATGCAAGATTCCGAAAACTACACAAATTCTCAAGAAAATCCCATAATTGCCAGCTTCACCGCTTCCATGATCGAGGACTATAAAAAATTGAATTTTGTCTGTTTAAACTGAGAGATTCCTTTCCCGTCCCAAAACAAGCGTAGTGAGTACTTCATTAAGTAAAGAGTTTAGTTCATTTCTGTCCAAATTTTCGGAATCCTTTGGAGATACCCCTTTTTTAGAATCTTCGTCGGAGAAAAGTGTAAAGTCATTATTAAACCGGTAAACTGGTGATTCGCCTAAAATCTTTGTTAGCGAAAAGTACAAAAACAAGACCGGAAAGGGGGAGGGGGAGGAGAAGAAGAGCCAAACGTAAAAAAATTTTGTCTCTAAGGTCTTATGCCATTAACCCAAAAAACGCCGATGTCGTGTTCCTCAATCCGAGATCTTCTTTGAATACCAAATCAATTTGTTTCCAAATTCGTAATGTTCCCAATTCTACAAAGAAAAAAAGGTATTTTCACAATTTCTCAACCGGAGACCATTTTCAGAAGAAAATGCGATTCCTCCCCTTCTCCTCCCTCCCCTCACCTGCTCTCTCTTCTAACACAAATTCGCCATGCTTCCATTCGAATTAAAAAGTATAGTATACATGCACTCAAGATACAATACCACCCGTAATTTGGGAAAAAAAAAGGCGGCGGCACTTAACTTACGCGGCGTTTGTCACCTAACTGCGGCGGCGCCGCGTAGGTTAAGTGCCGCCGCCTTTTTTTTTTCCCAAATTACGGGTGGTATTGTAGGTTCCTGGGAAATTGCAGTCTTCACAGTTAGTAGATTTTCAATCTACACACTTTTTGGATCTTTGACTTACGAGTTGTGAGAGTACGACGTACGCATTCACGTTATCATCTCGAGCAGAGCAGGTGCTATTTGGATGAATTACGATAGGTCATTTAATTTTCGTAAGCTACCGGGACTGCAAAGAATCTCAATGTTCCCATCAATGCTATGAGGCAATGCAAAGACTTCGACCTTAATCCTCAAAATTATAAAACATTTTTGACAAGTTTGTCCGTCGTCACGACAATTATTAACGTATTTGCCATTTACTGCGTTGTCAAGAAGTCCTCCAAGCTCTTTGGTTCTTATAAATGGTGGCTTCTTATATACCAAATATCTTCGACAGCATTTGACGCCTCGTACAGCATCATTGTGTTGCCTGTGGTATTTTTTCCCATCCCGATGGGTTATGCTGACTCACTTTTTGCAAACTGGGTATCACTCAGTAACGACGTTGCTCTCATTATATTTACCACCGGTTTTATATTTCTTGCTGTCACTATACTTAATCTGTTTATATATCGTTGTCACGCAATTGTTCCTCATGGAAGTTTTCTGAAAACAAATCAAGTAGGTGAGTTAATCGAGTTTATTTTGCGTATTGAAAATATAGTACTCTGCGTTGATACCACTGCTTTTAATCGAGTTTATTTTGCGTATTGAAAATATCAAATTCTAGGACTTATGGTCGTTTGCCTAATCCTATTTATTATTTACTTTGTGCCCGTCATGGCTACCTTAGCAAATGTGTTTTCCGATCAAGTTGAGGCTAGGGAATGGGTATTGAAGGTAAGTCTTGAACCAATTTGGAGATCCCTTAGAAATTTTCTATGCTTGATCATGTATCAAGTTGTCCTGTAACTTCCGTTCGTTTTCACTATTTAAGCAAATGACTCCCATTTTTTGGTTTCTAAGAAAGCTCTGGGGTAATCATGGAAAAAGCAAAGAATGCTCTAAAGTAGCCTCTGCATATTCGCACAATTTCGTTCCATCTTAAGTTTAAACCCGATATATACCCTAATTTCACGATTACCAGACAGATTTCTTTGTTCGATTTTTGAATGTTTAAAATACACTCAAAAATTTCGCGAATGATGGACTCCATCCCCTGTTGCTTCCTACAAAAATCATGCGGCATAGCATCGTTTGCGAGGCACAGCGAAGCCGCTAAGCGGTTTTGAAGAAACAGAAATGGTGCGTCTTATCCTCGCGAAATCAGAGTGATAACTTTCAGAATTTCTTGAAATTTTTCGAAAAAATCAAGAACTTTGCCTAAGGAAATTCAACTTATTTATGCGTATTACTCTTTATACCATAGAGACCGCTTTGGAGCCTGATAGGTGTGGTGCATCCGCACGAGCATAGTTCGACAATGAAGAGTGACGAATTTTCGCTACAGCGCCGGCCACTATCAAAAAAATTGATGGTGACCGCGGCCAAGAATGTCGCTCAGCGAATGAATAAAATAAGACTACCATTTTTGATTTTCGCGAAGAATGACATGGCTGGAACATAAATTGAATGATTTCAGTAAATGAAATTTATGTGCTCTCTTTTTTAAACCTAAGCATTGGTTGACTTTGTGATTTTATTCTTGACATCACAGTCATGCGGACAAACACCAACTCCACGGTGGACTGAAGGCTTTCGAAGACGATGATACTTGTGGAAACGTTAGAGATAAAGTCACTATAAAAACCTTTCTGGCACAAAAACAAAATCATACATGAAATCTATTTCAAGCAGCATTTGAAAATAACAGAAGCGAACTCTGAAAACAAAAAGTTTGCTTCCTTTATTTCTCGTCGAAATCGGCTGTTCATCGATGCCCTCTTCTTTGAGCCTCAGTGTAGTGCAGGCTCAAAGAGGAGGGCGTTGCACATTGTGGGCTCAATGTGTTGTAAAATATTCTCACAAGGGAAGTATTTCCAGAGGCCGTGGCTTTTATATGAGACGCGTATCATTTGAAAAAGTCTTACACGCTGAAAATCTGCATTCTGTTTATGAGGAGTTCGCTCTTTTTAAAGGAGTTATGGAAGTCTAAAAATCCTAATTTTGAGCGCTTTTTGAGTATGACGCTAAGATTAGCGCTATTGTTGCATTAGTGTGACGGCAAGCGTGTTGGCAATCGAGCCGAGAGGTCAAGGGCTCAATTCCAGTGGAGATTGAACCTTTGCATTTTGAGTCTGAGTTTAGATACGCACTTGAAATCATCTGCAGACGCTTACAGTAATTTGACATATTGTAAGTGTCTGCTATTGTTGCTCATATATCACCAAATTTCGACCTTTGCCCTTGTGGCGTACTCCTGGTGTGCGTGCTTCGATAAACATCCGGGTGCGTTTGAAAAGTCAATCCAGTATTGCTTTCCTTCCCCATGGGTACTTGCGAGCATGAAAATTGTGCGGTGGTTATCCTCTTACGTTGTTCCCGTTGTAAGAAACAACCGCGCCTTGTCCAGTTTGTAATGTCGCTTCACATCTGTACAGAAATTTCTGCGGACAAAACCAAAAAATCAGCAAGCAGCAGGTAAGCACTGCCACAACTGCCACAAAATCGCTTTTTCAAGGTCAAGATATGTCAAAAACACTACTGTGAGTGTTTGCATCGATTCAAGTTAGTATCAAAATCACTTGCAAAAGGTTTGTTATCCACTGGAATCGAGACGTTAACCTCTCGACTCTAATGCCAGCACTCCACTCTAACCACTACAATACACCACTATTAGTATGCATGGCAGCGTCCGTATACTCAAAGAACGCCCAAAATCAGGATTTTTCGATTTCCATAATGCAGGTTTGAAATCAGCGTTTAAGACTGCTTCCGACGATATGCATCTCATGGGTGGGTGACTTTTCATACGATGAGCAATTCTGAGGTGCGAGGTGTGAACACCTACGGCTAAGTGTCAAGTCTCGCACCTCCGTGTCTAGTATACTGTAGAGAGGGGGGGGGGAGGGGACCTTTCATACGAATGCCTCCACATCATCTTTTGGCAAAGATCTAGTAAAAACTGGCACCATGCCAGCTTTGGGCATGCTGGCTCCATTCCAAAAAAACATCTAGATTAGCTTTTGCAGTACCGCGAATTTGGATAAATTTGGAAAACTTGAATACTGCATGGATTCAAAAAGTGTTTTGCTATGAAAAATACCACTATGATCGTTCCACTTACGAATATTTTAGTATTCAAGTCGACATAATTCGGTCTTTTTTGCAAACGTTTTGAACTGATTTGAGTATTGTCACATGCCTCTCCCACCTTTCAGCATGACCTGGAAGTGTTACTCTTCCCATAGGGGATAGTGAAGGGGAAGACGGTCACAGGCGCGATTTTTCTGGGTGTCATCAACTGAAAACTCCAGTTTCATGCTATGGGAAAATTCAAAAAGTGCCGGACAAAGTTCATTGGCTTACTAGCTGTTTGTAGTAAGAACTTGATAAGTTTGACGACTTTTGCTATAAAACTGACAGAAATATTTACAAAATTGCTGTTAACTGCATTTTTATGTGTTTTTGACCTTTAACAATTTTGTTTGAAATCGATTTCAAGATGATGAAATTGAACAGTCCCTAAATTTCCTAATATATCTCTTTCAAAATTTCAAGTAATTCCAGAACTTCATGAAACACTAAATATGTGCTATATTCTGCCCATCTGGCAATAGGAATTGCGCCTCTTGACATATCTACACCCATTGGAGGGCATGCGACTCGATAAAGCGAACTATTCATTACCATTTAGCCAGTTGTTTGCGAAAATGAATTCGCGGTGGCCTGACGATCTTTACTATGATACGATATTTCAACCCGATTAGCTTTATACAACAGATAAAATCAGGATAATTTTTAGTTTACGCATTTTTGATAATAAACATTTCATTTTAGTCCATTGTAATCGATAACCGGACGTATTACCAGCACCCTAGCATACGCTAGAAGGTCAAAGTGGTCGGAGAGCGTTCGTATGAAAAGTCCCCCTCCCCCCCCCCCTCACCTAGGCGTAGTGGAGAATCTTACTCATTACGTGGATGGAGAGGTGCGATGTAGATGTGAGGTAGGTGCGAAGGCTAGGTTCGAAATCCCCGATCGTATGAAAAGTCCCCCCCCCCCGCATCTCATATTAACGGTCACGGGCTCTGAAAGTACTTATCTTGTCGTATCTCCAGTTACGGAATAGACTGTAAACTGTAGAAGTTGTTTTTTTTTGCTTTTACAATGCTTACCAAAATTATAGGTTCACCTTAAAAACTGCCGTAACTCACTCGGTTGTCAAGTTGCACCGATTTAGTAGAGCTGCGTGTTTACAAACCTACTTGATCACCAAGCCTAGCTTAGTTTTCATTTGATTATTCAACAAAAAACTCGAAATTCTACGAAAAGTAAGCTTAAAGCGTCGCCAAAATCGTGAGTCCACCTGAAGCTTTTATTCGTTTCAATACTTCCCAGCAAAAAAAGAAAATTTTGATCTGTTACACATTCGAAACTGTCAAACAGTTGCTTCATTCAAGCTTCTCTTAACCTCAAACCTGCTTTTTGACTTGAAGATGAATTCACATGTATTTCGATTCAGAAACCTGCATTTAAGTTGGAAATTCTGCAGTTCCTCGGCTTTTTTGGAGATGAAGTAATTTTATCTGCCTTTTTGATGAGCAGTGAGGACAATTTCCCTGAATTATTGTTGTAGAAGCAAATCGATATTGACCTAATCGCAGGTCTAAGCTCGAATTTCTGGCTCAAATCCTTTTTAGCGTTCTCATCTAGGCGCAGGGTGAAGTAGAAGCTACGCACTTCTGAAATAGCGTTAAGTATTACGTCCTCAGATTTGGCGGTAGATGGTAGATTGTGGAAAGATTGTTGCTGCGTTGCTAGATGGTAGAAACAGTTCGTTTTGTAACGACGTGTGATTCCTTTCATGACTTTGGTTAGAGCCGGAAATATGAGGCTTGATGAACCAAATGTAAGATTCTCGCACTAATGCTTACATGCTATTGACTGTATAAACCTGTAACAAAAGTGTATGGCCTCTCTTCCATACAGAAAATGCTTTCATTCGATTTTGTGCTTACAAAAGCATTGCGAGAAGTTTAAAGACAAAGATTCAAGCTCAAGCCTGTGGCGAGGCGACGCATCGGGGTTGCTTCCAGAAAAGCAATAACTTCTTTCTCACTCAGTAATCGCTAAGCATCTAAAAGCTAGTTGGAATATCGTTCCCGCGGCTGAAAACTGCAAAGATTTTTATTTTGAACGCTAAAGTGTGAAAGTGTGAGCTTTTCGAACGGGGTAATATTGTGCATTAGTAGGGACCATGTATAATTTAACATTGATAGGGAACTGAAAAAGCCGGTTAAAATAAAAGCAAACTTAGCCCTCGCTAGAGAGTGCTTCTTTGAACGTTTTTCATTTTACAGACGTACTCATGCGCTCGATCGGCTATAGATGCTCCACGTCTTACGATCTATATACAACCCAAGATATTGAACGTTGTATATACAGTCACAGCTCTCAGTTTTGTTGCGTTTATTATTGGCATAATGACCATATCGGGATCGTTTTACTTCCTCAATTCAACGTCTGCTATGTCAGACAGAACTAGACGCATGCAAAGACGATTCCTCATCACGCTCTGTATCCAGGTAACATTTTTGTATCAAACATAATATAGCAGGTTGAACCAAAAATTTTGTTGCACCATATTTTGATATTCGCATCTTCATCCTGTTGCGATATTCCTGCATGGCATTAGAACTGTTAGGAGAACTATAAACCTTGCTAACTCTCTGTTAAGCTCTGGCTACATAGATAAAAAGGAAAGTCCATTGAGGGGTGTTGATTCGAGGGAACCCTTAAACTTTCTGCAAAAAGCAGTAAAATTTGGAAAAGTCAGATTGTTACATGACAAGACGCATGTAATGAACGTATAGGCTTCAGCTTAGACACCGTCCACCCTAATTTAAGGGTTTGATTTTTTGGCAGCATATGATAGTAGGGCCCCCTATCAAGAGTCAATGCCCAAGTCGCGGCAAAATGTCGCATCGGAAGCGAGAAAATGCTTCGGAATAACGAAGATGCACGAGGACCCCCAGACGGCACCGCCCTACCCATTCATGCCCGCCCATCCCGCGTGCGCTCAACCAATCACCATTCCGGGAACCGGTTCGAGGGTTTTGCAAAACGGGAATTGTCGGGGTTTTCGCGGTTTGTCGATCTCATATTCGGAAACAGAGACATGAAAAGGCCCTAAAACGACAAAAACCTGAAGGTCGAGAATTTGGGTGGACAATGTCTTTAATGCCTTAGATACAATTTGTGGTGCTGGTACGGCGCGTTATGATAATTTGAGAGAAGCTAATGTTAAGCATGAAACTGTTGTAGAGACAAAGTGTTCTCAAAGTAGTCAGAAGTTGAACAGGCAACCTGACAAGTACAATACCTAAAATTCTACACTGTTTCGGATCAAAAATTCGTAACTTTAATTTCTTCTAGATCACCATTCCCTTGATCACTCTTCTTATACCGATTGTAGTTGCGCTATGGAAGACTGATTCACAAGGTAAGAGATTAATACCAGGCGAGAAATTACGAAGCACCGTTCAGCTGACAACTGTAACTGCATGCATGTTCATAACGGCAACTGCCATTTGAAAAGTTTACGTCAACGTTAATTTATTTTTTCTATTCAAGGAGTGACACCATGTACAATAGTAGCATTTTTACAGCCACAGGAAACTTGATAATGAGTGGTTTTGGTCTACATGGGCTGACGGCACCAATGTCTTTACTGTTGTGCAACGAAAGTTATAGAGATTTTGCACTCAAAATTTTGGGAATGCGTATGTTTATGCCATAGTTTGTGTTGTTCACCCTTGATCTTCCATCAGCGCATATTTATTTATCTATTTAGAATATTTGGGATACATGCAGCGGCAGTTTAGAAAAAACCAAAGTATAGTGCCCAAGACCGTTTCGACAACAATCATGTGAGCTTTAGGTTGTGCAGGTGTGTATAAAATCTTTTGAGATGCAAGCTCACACCATCGATTTAGATATCCCACTCTATATATGCACCAGAAAGAGGAAGGAACGGAAAGATATACTAGACGACTGCTAGCGACGTTGATGCTCACTCACTTGCTTACCTCCGTGCGATCATGCAATGTTTAGTCGGATATATCTTACTAAATTCAAAACGGAACATTCTCAATCAAGAAACTCTAGAGGGAATATAATTATCTATCGGTGACTTGTTATTAGCACATATCACTTGTTGCTCGCGTGACAACTAATTGCTCGGATCTCGGCAATCATCGCCTTTCTTTCTACTTCTCTTCGAATGCTACGGCAACTATTTTCTTTGACAAATCATTCAAAAGCCATTGAGCCACCATTTTCAAAGAGTAGCAAGTTTTGTTTTTCGGTAAGAAAAGCTATAGGCCGTCCGCGCTGCGCACGGAGAGCAACGCTGTTGCGTACATTGAAGGCAGTTCACGACTGGAAGAAGCGCAGAGAAAAACAGGCGGCGAGAGTGCACGAGGAAAGAGGAGTGACGCGCAATGCACACCTTGCGCACTCTCCGCGCCCTGCGCGGACGTCCTATATGAAGGCACAGGCTGTTTCATCCATCGGTTGCGGTGTCTCCAAAATACGGACTACTCAACTCTTGCTGCTATTGGAAAACTACAGTAGAAACTTCCAGCACGATGTCGTCATTGCAAATCAGCTGCCATTAATGACAAATTCCGAAACATAATCATGTGAGAAAGCTCATATATGGGATCAGCAGCGCTAATTGAATCAATTCTGGTGCAAAGTACGCTTTTATTGTTCAAACGTCTGTCAAAAACTTTTACCGCACCTAAACATATGAGCTTTTCTTACACATAATCACGATAATTGCAATCATAATTGAGTTTATAAAAAAATTTAGATATTATCGGTAGTAAGGTAGTAGGTAGTTGGCTGTTATTTTTTCCAAAAAACACAACTTTTGCTGAAAACGTCTAAAAATAGTGAGAGTAGGCAGTAAAACCTTATGTATTAGGTTGACCCGAAAGTTTTGTCGGTTTTTTCAAACCATTATAAAACCATGCACAATGAAGACCTGAATGAGTTTCAACATGCATTCAATGCAGCTTTTCCTTCTCTTTCTTATGGTTACATTTAAGAGCCAAGATCCTTTATGGCTATTTTGATAATTTCCGCAAATCTTCATTCGTCATTTTTATCTGCTCAAAGTTAGGCTAATTTTTGAAAATTTTATTCCAGAGTTTTGGAAAGGATTAAGCATGGCACAAATAGAACAATTCTCGGGCTATACGGTAAATTTTTAGATTCTCCATTGCTGTTTCTAAGTTTAGTGAATTATTTTTTCGGAGGTCTCGATTTTGACAAAACCATGGAACACGCAACTGCGGCAAAAACATGAAAGCTTAGAATTTTTGCGAATTGAAACTTGATTTCATGTCTTCTCCTCTCTGAACCTTGGCATTTGGAATTGATGTTAGTGGCTATACTATGTTATGCCAGTGCCAGGTTTGTACGGTGGAATTCTTTATTGGCCTTACGTTTCGACAAATTCGTCTTCGTCGGAGGCCTGAAAGTAGATTGCAGTGTTATCTTTGCAAGACCAGACCGCCAAACGCCGGAAATGAAACTTGATTGCTAATAAACATTATTTAGCAACATAACCAGCTTTAATTTGCTTTGAAAAATCAGCTTTTTGGAATTTCCGGTAATTTAACGTGGTAGACGTAATCAAAAAGCCGTAGTTTTTCTTAAGTAAATAATTATTTGAAACTTGATAAACGTGACCCATGTAATCTAAAATAAGTATAATGTAGCCGAAGAATGGCTCTACATAACACTTATTAGCGCTTTTCGAAAGTAATAGGAGAAAAATTTTTAAAATTCAGAAAAGATTTGGCGTTAGTGCTGAGCTGTTAAAAAGCCATGGCGATAACATTGCGAAGACAGAGTAGATCAGAGAACAAATGTAGCTGTAAGAAAGAGGATGAAAGTCTAAATCAAAAGGTACCTAGACCTTCCTTGAATTGGTGTTCTGTTGGTTTTAGTGAGCGAGAGAAAAAACCGACAAAAGTTTCGGGACAACCTAATACTAATGATTCGGGATTTTTCGGCAACGTTTCAGATGACAGCCTAATTCAAAATGATCGAAGCTCAAGTTTTTTTTCATCCAACTCGATTTTTGCAACCAGTGTTGGGGAGAAACTCGTCAAGACAACTCTAGAAAATGAGCGGCTTAACAGAATTACAGCAAAGCAAATGTTCGGAGAGCGAGAAGTCATGGTTTTAGGAAAACAAGACGACTCGGACCGATCCAATATTAAATAAAGGATTATAAAGTACAGTGCGTTAGTATCATCAAACTTTTCAGAGAAAAAGCGAAGACGAGCCCGTTCTTGGTTACATTTGGCTAACATTATGGATAGAAAAGGTTAAAGTTTAATGCGAGGAATAATTTTGCATACAACTGTCTGACAAGATAGCTGGCAAACCTGGCTCCATCCGGCCCTAACAATAATTTTCTTCTGTAATCGGCATGCTCACGTACCCATATCTGCCAACTCTTAGGCCCATAGTTCAAAATTTGGACAAAATCAATAAAATCGATGTCGATCGATAACGAAACGTAGCCTACAACACCCGCCCCGCCTCAAAGTGTATGTGTGCCAAGCTCGGTCCGGATCGGTTTAGGAATAATATGTTCTATTTGGAATATAAAAGACAGACACACAGACATACAAACAAACTTACAAACAGACATTCAGCTTTATTTATACAAAATGAGCAAGACTAGCTTGAAAAAGAATCGCCATGCTCACATGACTCTTCAAGAAGACTTATAAGGGAACGGTCACGGCGTCGAGGTGATCATCGCAATTTGCATACTACTAGTGAGAGTCTTTGGTGGTAATTCTAAATCGTCTCTCCTTATTTGCAGAGCACCTTTGAGAAGAGTTATAAGCATCTTTTCAGAAAAATGAATCAATGCAATGCGCTCCGTCTCTCTAGACTTCAAACGAAGCAGTGGCAAAGTTAGGATAAAGTATCCTAACAATAAAGTCTATAATTCTCCATCTGACGTTTAGGAAGAGTTAGCGACTAATTTTATTCTAGCCATTAATTCGATTTTTTTGCTTTGAAGGATGCTCATAACTTCCTTCGCAAAGGCGCACTACGCATAAGGAAAGCACATTTGGAATCAGCGTTGCAAACTCTCGCTAACGGTATACAGTCGTAGTGATCAGCCACTTCAACTTCGTGACCCTCCATTCTTGGTAAGATAGCGAAGTTGATCGATACTTTCGATAACGCGGAGGACTGAACAAAATTTACCGAGGAGTTCGAAAGAGTCTTCTGCACTTCATCGGAAGATTCAAAGCCCCATTTGTGCACTTCAGAAGCTGAGGAATGTATTCATAGCACACCCAAGAAGATTGCGAGCTTGGCTACCACGTCGTGGTTCAAGTCATCTTCACGGCCCTTTTCCCCAAGAGACATCCTTAGGCGCTCCTTTGAGTGCTAAAAGGGACTCCTGCTCACCCGTGTTTCATATAAGAGCCACCAGCAGGACGCGAACACGATCATCAGCTTTGCCATCCAGCGAAAAATGTTCGGGAGGTCAAAGGAGCAGCGGTCCTTCTAACCACAGCCGTTCTGCGGGTGTTCAAGGTATGCAAACTCCGGGCTACTTCATCTCATAAATGTTTTTAAATTGCGGCCAAAACACTTATAAGTTAGCAAGATTCATAGGATGTCCAGATCACTTCTTTTGCATAATCAGAAGAGTTCATATAACCGTATGTAGCTCTCTACCGTGTCAGCCTTGCAGAAGCCCTATACGACTCACATCAGGGCGATGGCATGCGTGCGCTTCGCCGTTATCCTAATACCGCCTTTACCGGCTTTAGTGGGTCTTTTACGGCCTCATCTGTAAAGCCGCTCAACATCCGAGTACGTCGTACTCCCGAACCTTTTGTCTGTATGAATGTTCAGCGAGTTTGTGTAAGCATTTCAATTCTTTGCATCAAGTCTCGGAAGGAGTCACGATGTAGATTGCCTTCTAGGCTGGTGTAATTCAGGCTTGTTTTTCTCATCATTTTCTACAGTAACCAACCGTGTTTGTTGATCATCCTCCACTGCTGACTCGTTTCCATGGACGATGTATATTTGCTTCTCCAATGCCGTCTCCACCAGTTCTTCCCTAACATCTAGTCATACTAGCTTCAGCTTCGCGGCGCAGTGTGAAAAAAGTGTTTGATATCTACTTTTCAAATTCTTTCATAAGCTACAACGTTTTGAGTAATTTGGTAACAAAGCACGTATAATCAGGGTAGGCTTACTTTGTAAGCTATACACTAAGGGAAGGATACCAAAATAATCTGGCCGACTAAAAAAAGTTGTGTATCAGTATACGTATTTTCAAACGTTGATTCCAAATCTGATTTCCGCTTCTGCGGAATAACTCTTCGAGAGAAGTCATGAGTCTAAATGTCCAAATTTATCAAGCTTTAAGTGGTCAAAAAATAAAGGGAAAGCTTTACAAAAACACCTGAAAGTGAGCTATTAATTCTATAACAAGTATATTGACAACAAAGAAGCAACTTAGATAGTGGAAATCCGCATAGGTATTGTTGTAGAGCTTTTCGCTGATTTTCAGGCACTCAAAGCTTGACAAATTTGGACATGAAAACGGTCATAACTCCTTTCGAGCTTGTCCGTACAAACGGAAAGCAGATTTGGAACCAGCGTTTAAAGACTCCTCTGTTGATTTACATATTTCTTTATTTGCCAGATTACAGTCTGCCCCAAACGGGATCAGGAAATCATCAACTGAATTTGTGCGCTCACAGCGCTAGGGTTTTGCGCAGCATACGCGCGCTGTCGCAAAGAGCGAAGAGATCGAGGAAATAGCAGACAAGCTAGCTGTAGACGTGACGCAATACCTTCGCGAAACGGATTCCCGCCATTCCAATTTTGGCCTGGTTGGGATTGAGGCAGACTATAAGTTGATATTGCTCCCTTGTAAGATACAACTTTTTTTTCGACACTGTTAGAATCGCTTTAGGTGTACTGAGTGTATGATGGCAGTAAGTGAGCCACTTCAGCATTGCCAGGTGTTTCGGAGCGCTTCCTTTGATAGAGCCTTCCATTCCTCAAGGTGACGATTTCGGAATGAGATTAGAGTTTCGTGCGCGTTGCACCAAATATTCGAACCCCAGATTCAATAACAATAGTGCATGTAACGTACAAGTCTATTTGAATGACTAACTTAACTCTATCAACGACCTACTACTCTGACCAACACAACTCTATTTGAGTAATGGTTTGAGAAATTACCAGGGCCCGGCACAAGGTGGGCAAACGGGTTTTTCCAAAACGAATACCCCTTTGATCCCAGTAAGTTTTACGAATACTCCCCTGAGCCCAAAAATGACGTTTTGTGCTTGTGCGACGAGATTACCGGCCACACTTCGCCTAAAAGCGCTCAAAAGCGCCCAAATTGCTCAAATTCCTCATATTACTCAAATTGCTGTACCAAGATAGGAAACAGGAAGAAAAATAAGCAGTAAAAAGGATTAGGGAATGAGAAAATATCAAAGAAACGCAGTCATAGGAATGAGAGACGCCGTTCCCGCGCGTATCGATTGACTGGGGCGCGCTTTCTATCTTAGAAAGCTGGGCTGCTGATGCCATTTTGGGCTCCAACAAGGACAAGAGGAGGAGTTTCGGAACCAAAATTTCACCATGTAGTAAACTTTAGGTGTACAACAGATTTATGTAAAAATTTTGAGAAAATTATGTGAATTGAGAGTTTTGCCGACCTCAGGTGGGAATTAGGTCGGCAAATGCCGACCTAATTTGGAAATAAGTTAAGGAAACTCTTCATTCACATAAGTTTCTCATAATATTTCATACTTTATTACTTAGTCCTATTGCGCATATACACACCGAAGCCCGCGCGATTTCGTTACCTCTGCGTTGCAAACGAGCCATTTTTCCATTACTTTGGTAGCGCAAAATTTCCAGAAAAAAGTTTGCCACAACCTTCAGTCACATAATTTCTCAGTGAAACTCCTCAGTCAAGTCCTGCAAGCCCGTGTGCATGTAATTACCAAGTTTCATACCATATCGTCATCTGCGCACTGCAAAGCGCGAGCCGTTTAAATTCACATTTTCATTTACCAGTTTTGCGAAATTCTCGGAAAAAATGCTAATTACTCGTTCCGTTCACATAAGTTTTTCATAATTTTTCATATTATGTTTCCACTAGCCTCTGTCCGTTCGCACACAAAATTTGGTGCCATATCGTTACACACACATTGAGAACTAGTCATGTATGCAGTTACAAATAGCATCGCTTGGGCGACGTCGCGCGTGCGGCACTTAGCGACGGCGCGGTTTGACGCGCGCGAACTCCAGTGTTCGCCTGTTGAGGCACATAACATGTCAAGATAAGTAGCGAGCATGAACTACCAATTTTTTCCGGGGCTCTGCCCCGGACCCCGCAAAAACGATTTCCCCTTTGCTTTTTGGCCCCAGAACAATTTCCAGCTTGTCATTTGCCGACCTCGTGCCGGGCCCTGGAAATTACTTAAAACTACTGTCATAATCATTCTATTACTCAAGCTGAATTCCACGGCATATAAGAGGGGCATGTAATATTCGGTAGAATATGGCAATTGACATATTTTGCCCCTTGATGGGACTCGCATTCCACGAGTATCAGTGAATATTGCTCCGCTGTTGTCACAGGTGTGAGAATAGTTTTGCAGCTGTTAGCACCTTCGCATGCCTCCTCTCCAGTATGACTCCTTCGATCTCTTGCTTTCCATAGCCATTGGCACTGAAAAGGTGCTTAATCTACGCAGCTTGTGGAGCATATGTTTGCCTTAGTAGAAATCATTACTAAGACAAGTAAAGACAGATTTGGCTCTATTTGAATTCGCGTTAGACTAATTCACCCACATTGCCGTGATCCTCCTCTAATTATACAAGGTGGATCTGAGTCGCGTGCGACTATGCACTCAAGTTGCGGAATTGCTGCTGACTACAAGCGCCAATGTGAATGTTCACTGAGCACACAATCGTTTGAGTACTGCTTAAAATTCAGATACAAAAAATTTACCAGATAAAATTGAAAATGACAACAAGCAGTGGTAGGTTACAGCTATCTTATGAGTAATCATAATGAATAAGCTTGATAGAGGTGCAAGCTGAGAGCTGAAGAGTTAAGTGAATGAAAAGGTTTGGAGACATCACAGAGATAAGAAATGACCAGATTGAAACGTGGGAAGGACTGGAAGATTCGCTGGGAAAAACTGCGACGTACGATTTGTCAAACTGGAAACAGCAATAGTTATTCTTCCGCACACTGAATGGTTCACAGTTCATCAAAATGTGACTAACAATAAGGTCAGCCCCAAGAGCTATATTATTCCGCTGTTTCTACCGCGTTTTTCGTTTTCCCTATTTGTGAGAGCCTCTAAAACAAAGAGGATTAATAATATAAAGTCCCATGAAGCCTGCATTATGACGCCGCAAAAATTCCTAAGACTCTATAATAGCACGCTTTCTCTCCGGTCAAGAAACGCATTAGTGAATTTTTTCGAAACAAAGTTTAGCACCACATCGCGGAAATATGGATTCTATTCATACCTGAAGCAGATAAACAGATAAACAGTCTACACTTAATCGTCAGGATTTGTGGTTTTTGGTCTAAGGGTGAGCGGTGGTCCTAGGATAACGTAGGACCTGAATATCGAGGAAATCGCTAAGCAAGCCTTTCGAGCAAGCTTCGCTCACCAACTCCGGCGCGTTTGGCTTCGTGCCCAAAGCCTTTGGCTAAGTACAAAACGCCATTTTTGCTTTCTGTAGCGGCAAAATCAAAAGGCAAAATCTAAATTAAAAGGTCTACGACCGAAAATGAATGCAGAGATATTCAAATTTTTCGTCTCGAAGAAGTCTCTTTTCGCAAATATGCGTAAAGAAGATGAAAGGACAAACTGAAAACCCCAAGATACCACTACTACCATACTGTTTAGCCCAAAGCAAGGTTTTTGCTATAAAGCTCGGAAGAGGAACCCAACCCACCATACAAACTTGCCTCTCCACCACGTCGCTGCTTCTGCCAAAAAGGTGTCAGTCTCGCTTCAGAGCAGAAATAAAGGAATTAAAGGAAATAAAGGTGGAGCATTTTCTGCTAGATAAACTAGCGAACAAGTCAACGCTGCAATGTCCCCAGTTTTCTGTAAATGTGAACTGCACTTACGAGAGATCTTCAAATTTGGTTTTGTTCTTAGCAATAGGCTAAAACTCGTCTAAAAATTAGAGCAACAATGAAATCAACTTCAACCTCACTGTTGGGATTTGTTGTCCATACTGCATGCTCTGGAGGAATGACCGTAGCGGCCACAATTGTAGCACATGTTGCGCGGATGATCTTCAAACTGCGGATGCGGCCATACGCGCTAAAAAGGGGAGATTACGGGTAGGGTATCTGAAAATAGGTGAGAACTGGGAGTCTGTGCCATATTTCCGTAGAGAAAGGGCCTGTGCGGCAAGTAACGAGCCGTCCATTTCGCCGAGCTAATGGGGGCGCTTCTTTTCCATTCTTCGTTTCCTCGCGTATCCAGTATATGATTATTGACCTGCGTTGCTTCAGCTGTTGCATGCTGATCATAAAAATCAAAAAGGTCTGAATTTGTGGCATATATAATGGCTTTCAGCAGATTGGCTTTGATTTCGTCTTCCTCCGATGCGTCGTGACAGCGACGTCAGGGCTTCCAGGATTCTAGCGATATATTCGAACTGAATGGAACAATCTATACCTGATGAGATTTGCTGAGAAAATTCTGCATTTACATCCATATGGCAGTAGCTTCCGGTGCCACGAGAGTAGCAGTAGCTGCTGCCAGCTGGTTGGTCAACCTCATGGTGTTCTGCGGCTTTTGGGCGACCTCGTTGGTCGGATCCGGTGCAGTTCTTGAATCTTGCCTCTCTATGATCGATTATTTGTAAGAAAATAGCTATAAAGAAAGTTGGATCGACCGCTTTCCAGGTTGACATAGAATCGGAATGGCAAGGGAGTCCCAAGCACGCCATCCGAGCAAAGTTTTTCGCGCCCCGGTGCTCTTCGCGATATGAAAAACACCGCACTGTACCAAATCGTTAACCTACTAGGACCCATAATACAGTCCCTTACTAGGGACACAATTATAGTGAATTCAAACGCTAACGTTGAAATCGTTGAAATTCATGATTTCTGCATCACGGCTCGTTATCGCGGCTTTCTAACAACATCGTCGCCGATGCCTCGCTCCGTACACGCTCTTAAGCAGCAGAAAGGACAGAGAGGACAGCCCTCCGGATCGACACCCGATATCCTCCCCGAGGCAATAGGAAATCTCCAGACAGGTGACATGGGTAACGGCAACAAAGGGAAAGTGTGTGGTAATGTAGGTAACAATGTATTCCATTGTAGATGTGTGTATACTATCTATGAATAAATCATTAACTGTGATGTGAAGAGAACCCAATAGTCTATCGGCCACAAGTCCGACCATGGTGCATCGGACGAATCACGTAAAGGCCAAAAATTGATTAGGCCACCCCGTGGTCAAAATAGGCAAAGGAACCATTGAGCCGTGGCAGCGGTTCTGGTAGGGCCCACCAGAGCTGTTGTCTTATCGCCTCGATTAAATTGGAACGTTTCCTTCAGAATAAAGCTCCCTTCGGTAATATACGTATTCCGCGGAAACAAAATGAAGAAGAAAAAAACAGGTATAGTTCCCGAGAAAAATACTTGCCAGCTGAAGGGAGAAAAAGGGTTCTCACAACAAAATTTTATCATGTCTCACATCAAAATATCAACAGGCAGAAAAGGCACAAAGTATGTGATTTTCCCATGAGATGGGAAAAATAAAGAAACATTACACAGGGAACTATACATATAAAAGGGGCGCTCCCCTACCGCTATCATTCTTGATCCGTTTTTCACGAAGTTTGCTTGAATTTGTTGCCATAATGCCCGCCGCAGTATTTAATCTGAAAGTGGCAAAACAAAAGTTGACAAGGCAACTCAATGAACTAACAAAAGTACTACAAGAAGCTGAACAATTCAATCACCATGGCAATTTCCTACAACTATGAGAGAAATGGAAACATTTTTGGCAATTAAACCAATTGTCGTCGAAGCAATGTGTAAAAAGATGGAAAATAAAAAAGAGTGTATATGGAACTATTATAAAGAATGCATGAGTACTATTGACAACTTAAAGGAAAAGCTCAGTGAAGATGGAAATGTGAAAAACGAATTTGAATCGTATTGGGAGGAAAAAAGAGGGAAATACTGGCTGGAAACCACCACCGATCTGCTTGATCAATTGGAAAAACGTATCGTAGAGCTCCACTGCCAAGAAGCACTGGTAAGGAAAGAGCAAGAGAAGCACATGACAAACGGAAACGACCAAACGAATAGATCACTCCGGTCACACATCGACTGTTTGGAAACGAACTCAAGATTCCAGATTTTGATGGAAAGGTAATAGAATTTGATTCATTCTGGGAACTGTTCGAAGAGCTTGTACATAAGCAACCATACTCGAACATTGAAAAACTTTCGATATTACTCAACTGCTGCAAAGGAGATGCGGCACGAACACTAAAAATGATACCAAGAAAGGGCGACTCGTACGAAGAAGCAGTAAATCATTTGAAATTGCGATATCGAGACGGGAAGAGGACAACTATGATGGTGATAAAACAGTTGCAAAACCTGAAACAGGCAAGAAATGATGCAAGGTCGATCAGAAACGCTCTCAATGATGTAGAAACAATTATGGCTCAAGGTTTGAGTTTTGAAAGGAAATGAAAGGGAATCAATGAAAAAATTTATTTTTCGCAAAGGCAATGCAAGTAATACAATCACACGCTTGGTAACGCCTCATTTCAGGAAAAATTGATTATGCCATGTCGTATTGATCTTTTGTGAGGTAAACTTTCTCATATTTTGTAATTGTCAATATAATTGTGCCTTGTATTGTTTCCCTGTGAGGTAATGCTCTACGGTCTGCTGTGAGGTAAAATCATATATTTTGTGCCTGGCAATACAATTATAGCAAATCTTACAATACTGTATAGCATATCGTATGCCCTTTATTCATTGGATGGCAACTGTTTTTTATAATTCCGTTTTCATCCATTGTATAACTGTTGTTTTCATAATTCCTTTTTCGTGCAAGTATTACTCAAGTAACCCATTATCATTGTAATTTAATAACAAAATAAACGCTTTTTGAGCAAACAATTTCCAAAAATATCCTTCCCCAGTAACGAGGGATAAACAAAATCAGCAGTAAAAAAAAGAAAAGAAAGGGAAATTACTTGCGAAAAAAAATTTTTTCTCCTTTGTTCTCGTCGGGGTGTCATGAATCGTTGAAATTAATGATTTCTGCATCACGGCTCGTTATCGCGGCTTTCTCACAACATCGTCGCCGAAGCCTCGCTCCGTACACACTCTCAAGCAGCCGAAAGGACAGAGAGGACAGCCCTCCGGATCGACACCCGATATCCTCCCCGAGGCAATAGGAAATCTCCAGACAGGTGACATGGGTAACGGCAACAAAGGGAAAGTGTGTGGTAATGTAGGTAACAATGTATTCCATTGTAGATGTGTGTATACTATCTATGAATAAATCATTAACTGTGAAGTGAAGAGAACCCAATAGACTATCGGCCACAAGTCCGAACACTAACTAATTAAAGTAGCTGGTCTATAAACTGCCGTATATAAAAGTCGAACAAGCTAAGACCTGATGGATTTTAATGACGAAAGTCTGCTTTAAGATCCATACGAAGAACCTGGATCGATACAAGGGTTAAGGGCGGCCCATCCGAAGTGTCGACTTCCAGTTTTTGCCGACTGAGGCCTTCCCATGTCCCTGATTCCGAAAACGAAGTGGGAAATTCCGAAACCCCGACAGACCCCGTTACAGAGGACCCGGTGAGTTCTCCGAACGATAATTGGATGCGCGAGCAAGCATGGGCGGGCATTACTGGAGAGGGACCGTGTCGCCTAAGGGTGTTTCATACTGCAGTCGCTGCAACAACGACTGTTGATCGATCGATATCTTTTGCTCGCCTTGATGACTGCAGCTGCTGCAGTGACTGCAGTAGAAACAACTCCAAGGGCTCTCGTGCCTCTTCTTTATTGCGAAGCGGTTTTCTCGCTTCCAAAGCGACATTTGCGTCGCGACTTGCGATTCAGCTTGGAAGGGGTTCCTGCTATCGTATGCTGCAGACCCAAGAGCGCTAAGGTGCAAGTTGCTAATCGCTGGAGCCGAAGCAACGTCACAGGTTCCAAGGGAGAAACCATTATCCGTCGGAATCCGGCGCTGACCTTAGCTACAGTATATAGCTAACGCGATCATAAAAGGCGACCCAGCTGCCTCTTATCTTCCCTTTGGCTATGAATCTTACTTCTTATATATGAAGCTGAATGTCTGTTTGTATGTATGTCTGTCTGTCTGTCTGTATGTCTGTCTGTGTGTACGTATGTTCCGAATAGAAAATTCCATTTCTGAACCGATCGGGACCAAACTTGGCACACATACACTTCGGGCCCCGGCGGGTGTCATAGGCTACTTTTCGTATCGATCGATATCGATTTTATCGATTTTTTGCAAAATTTGAGCCACGGGGCTGGGAGTTGGCACAGGGGAGTAAGTGAGCATGGGGATTCCCAATACAATATTGGTTTTTAAAATCGTGCATTACTTTTATCGATTTTATCGGTTTTTTTTGCAAAGTTTGAGCTACGGGGCTGGGATTTGGCACAGGGGGTAATCGAGCATGCTGATCACCCCCGTGGGGGTGATCAGCATGCTCGATTACACCCCCCCCCCCCCCCGCCAAATTCCAGCCCCCTAGCTCAAATTTTGCAAAAAATCAATAAAATCGACATCAATCGGTAACGAAAAGTGGACTGTGATACCCGCCGGGGCCGGAAGTGTATGTGTGCCAAGTTTGGTTCGGATCGGTTAAGAAATGGAATTTTCTATTCGGAACATACGGCGGAGCCGGGTAAGCCAGCTAGTATTACATATAAATCTTACTTACCACATCATTAGGTCATCCTGAAACTACCATTTATCTTGTTTACTCTCTGATCTTGCCGCGGTACTGAAAATTCTCTTCATCTTGGCTACTCTCTCAATATACCATAGCAAATACTAAGGAACCGTATTTCTCCAGTATCTCATGGAATATCATTATCGAGATATCCCAATAACTTTTCGCCAGGATATAAAAGGGTTATACTTGATGAAGTTAGAACCTCTGCTTCCCAAAACGTGTACATCGTTCAAGGAGATGAAGCCATCCTTAACAATGACAGTCTTGTTTTGAAATCCCTAACAACAAAAAGAGTTTGTAAGTGGTACTTTTACGTCATCCATCAGCATCAGTTGTTAGCAAACTCAGGTCCCCATTCATTACTTGAATACGGATAGCGAAATGATCAGTTATAATACGACCCAGAGGATGAACAACACATCATATAAAATGCAGGACCACTTTATCATCTGATAAGACCCATGAAAAAGTAAGAGGCAGCCGAGTCGCCTTTTATGGTCGCGTTAGCTATATACTGTAGCTATACTGTAGCTAAGGTCAGCGCCGGATTCCGACGGATAATGGTTTCTTTCCATGGGTAACTTGCTCTATCGCAGAGTGAAGGAGAAGGGGTCGACGAGTTCGCCGAGGAGGATCAGAATATCAAAGAACTGCTTTTAGTTGCTCAATAAAAGTGAATTTCAAGTCTCATATTGCAAGGTTGTATCCTAGCATAACCCTATAAAATCAAGCTCGATCTAACCCGAATCAGTTTCGGACCAAAATCTAGCCATGTTGGACCACGCGCGAAATCCCGACAATTTTTGCGCGGCGTCGAATCGTGCAGGTTGACTGCAGCTACACACATTGTATCTCTCACGCTCAAATCGACTTTTCCATGGAAACAAATAAAATTTGGAGGCCTGTTTGTGTTGTTCAGCTGGTGGTTTGTCCATATTAGTTCTTTTCATCAAAAAACCAGCATAATGAAGATTCGGGAATGCGCATTCGAGACAAGTTCCTTTATTGCAGCCTTTTTCATGTTATATGCTTTTGTTCATAAGCCTGTATGTTGCCCAGACTGGTTATTTGGTTATGAAATGTTGGATGCACTTTTTTTCAGGTATGGAGCAATTGAAAGTTCAATTTGAGGAAGCCTTGCAAAAATACAAAGAAATCGAAAACGGTACGTAAAGTCTGATTTAGTAACTCCTCGTCAGTTTTCTTTCGTAGATGCTATGAAATTCTCAATTTCTTTCTTAGTGCTGTTCGTGTTACAGATCGCGAGAAATATATCAACAATCGGCAACAACTCGAGAGCCAGTTGACAGAAAATACGCTAGTGAAATCGGTCTGCTTTATTTTTTCTCTGCAATGTTACCTTTATAGAAAAATTTCTCACCTATCATTCTTAGGAGTTTGAATATCTTGATGAAGATGCGAAAGTTTACAAGCTTATTGGTGCGTGCCTTGTTCGACAGGATATACCAGAAGCCCGTGCTAATGTTGACAAGCGATTAGAATACATAAATGCAGAAATGTGAGTAGCTTGATTCTCGTTTTTCTTCATATTCAGTTCCTCTTACTCTTCCTTTTCTTACCGCAGCTTTCGTTTACTTCAATCGGCTTTTTATTAGTACTTATTGTAGCCGTATGTTTCAGCGGTACTGTGTTCCAACGCTTTTCGACATTTCTTGTTTCGCTAATTGAGTTGGTGAGCAGGGCATGGTCAGAACTTAATCTAGCCGTATTAAAAATGCTTTTCATCATCGGACTCGTCTTGAAGCGCTAATCACAAATATGTGTTTAGTATCTGCCAAGCGACTATTTGGGAGGAGTTATGGGCGTTGTGCCATTTGTTAAGTTTTCTGCGCATGTTCCACGAAATAGGTTGTAAAAACACTTACTCAGGTTTTTGGTGAATATGCTTCTTAAGTGAAATAACTGTAGCCACTGTAAATTCGCGCCATCACGCCCCTATTCAAGGAAATATATTCGTTGAAGTTCAAAGAATTTTCCATATTTGAACGCTCATAACTCCTCCCAGATGGTCGCTTGGCAGATAAAAAACATATATTTGAGATCAGCGTTCTAAGATGAGTCCGATGATGCAGCTTACTTTGAATGCCTGAATTAATTTCTGACCATTTCCTTTTAAAATCGCCTTGTAATCTGCATTTTGATAAGTCATTGTTCGTCTGTTTTTTGCTCACCGATTCTCAAACTTTGCGTATACACAAAAGCTCAGTTGCAATCCTAACTATGATGCTCGCTGGAGCAGTAGGTCTTTGGCTGAAATGTGGTCCCCCGTCAAAAATCACTCGTTTTCTCGTTACCTAATAGGCATACCTTGCTTGAGTGTCACTTTGAGCGCACTGTTTTCTTACAACTTCAAACACCACCTGCGAGACCAAATTGTAAGCATGATGTTGGTAAGAGGTTAGCTACTGCGATCACCGATGTTTAGTAATGATCTTTGGTGCTGAATTACGAAATGTGCACTAATTCTTTGATTGAGCTCATAAAACATCTGAGTCTAAGCCGCAACTATAACGAATTTTCTGCCATGACTTTGGCATTTCACCTTTATTGGAAGACTCCGATATTGACCAGTTTTCGTACTTTTGTGATTTATTAGTCATGTGATTTATTAGGATTTTATTCCAGCATGATTTTGCTCTTCCATGACTACTGGGACTCATTTGTTTCTTAGCTAATCCCGATGCTTTTTGTTTTCCAACGTCAGAATACCAACGCAGTGTATTCCAGTAGAACCCGAGAAATGTACAGGGCTCCTAAATTGCAGAGTCGTTTGCATCAGCGGTCGCGCGACCGCGTCGCGCCCGAGCATCAATGGCGCCGCCACGATCGATGGCCCCGGCGCCGGCAAAATGCCCGGGCGCGACGCGTTCGCGCGACCGCTGGTGCAAACGACTCTGCAATTTAGGAGCCCTGTATGAGAGTATATGGACTGAGATTTCCAGTAAGACCTTTGAATAAGTCGTTCATGTGCAACCGCTTTTAGTCGGAACATAGCTTTGTTGGCGGAAGAAGCTTACAAGGGAAGCGTTTTCAGTCGAAGTGGCGTTTCTAAATAAGACTCATACCATTCTTTGAAGAGCATTGCACGATGACTCCAGATCTTCATCCATTATCTGCCAAGCGCCTCTGGACATCGAGTTATGACCGCTTCTTGGAACGGAAAATGATCCAGGATGTAGATAAAATAAATTGTTGCAACTTTTTCAGCGGTTCTGTAAAGCATTGTTGAGTATCAACATATTAGACAAATTATATCCATTGCATGAACTGGTCTAACATTCGACCCCGACCGTTTGAGCAAGTTTGGGCGATTTTGTTCCAGACTTGCGTTCAATTTTTTTGACCCCAAAATGCCCATAGCTCGGCATCCAGAGGCGTTTGTCAGATAGTGAAGGCAGATTTGGACACTGTGCATTACTCTCCAAAGCAGTACGGGTCTCATCTGAGAAGGCCACTGGCTAAGCACGCCCCTTGTCAGATTGGATCATACTTAGGTCATACTAGATGCAGTGGAGAAAATGCTTAACTTATGAAGACAACATGACATAGGGCTGCACTGCCAACCTTTCAAAGTTTGGAAGAAAACTGAGAACATCCCTGATGTTCTTCTGCAAAATGTTCAGAAAAATACGTTCTAGATCATGTCGGTGATTTTTCTATTCTAAATTTAGGCTCTTTTCTCTTATAGCTTAGTTGAATGATCTGATAAGGACTTATCACACTGGGATGTGCCCTAATTCGTCTTATTTATTGCAGAAAACGAGTGGATGAGAGCCTATCTGACTTCAAGGAGAAAGCAGATGCGCAAAAGGCTAAAATACTCGAACTTCAACAGAAGCTTGCTGCTGGAAAGAAGTAATTCTTAGGTGAAGATTCTTCTTTTCTCCGACAACTGTATGAAATTTTACATCTACGATCTGCTTTGCTTGTCAATGTTAATTGTTGTTATTTCCGGTCAAATTATCAATTTTGTTTTTTGTTACGAGTGAATATTACAATCATGTAGTTTCAAATCTCGCTGCTTTTTTTCTTTTCATTAGCTGTATGGAAGTTGAAGCGAGGGTAAATTTAAGAGGACTTGCCTTCCATTATACTGGCTCAGTTTCATAGTTCTCCCATTTGTTTACCACAAAAAGATGTCCGAAAGGCCCGGGATGCTTGCAGCTGCTAGCTGCAGACATACGAAAAGCCCAGCATTGTTCTTGCGCAGTTGAACCCATTCGACCCAGAACGGGCACGACATGGGGTGTCTAGCGCGTTCGCCGAGAGAAATCGATCCCCTATAAGGCTGCGGTATTGACAGCGCCCACTGTCAATGCACTACGTTTCCATATTTGGTAAGGTCTGTCCATTGGCTGGAGTGAAAAGAAGCAGAGCGCTTGTTGGGGCACACGCGTTATTTGGCAGAAGTGCATATGCAAAGGTGTTTGTTGCTTTTTGTTTTATGAATCGGCTAATTTAATTTTTATTTATGAGCTTTATGGGGTTGAATTTTTTATTTATGCTATTGCGGTTATGTTTGCCGAATTATAATACTATGCTTTCACTGATTATATTGCGAACAAATCATCCCGATCTCCGAAGTCTGGCACTAAAGAATCCATTACCTTATGGAGAATTTTAAATTTGTGGGATTTTACAGGAGCATTACAGTCCCTAATTGAATGACAGTAGAGTTTTGATAGTCATACGATAGGAATAGAACCGTTTTGAAGGTTGACGTTCCTGTTACTACAAAAGCTGCTCATCAAGATCTAATATCAGTCATTAGCATAATCATCGTTAGAAACAGAAATGGTGTAGTCAATCAAGATAGTTTCTCAATCTTCAGAATTAACCTATTTGAACGTACTGAGAAATAGCATTTCTGTGAATTTTGCTCCTTGAAAAGGATGAGAAAACCAACAGAATTTATTTTTCTATCGAATTTGTGCGGGATTTTACAACTTTCGTGCTTTCCGGAAAATAGCGGATGCGCTTGTTTTTTCCTCCCTTCTTGAAGATGGATCGAGAAATTTTTTGAAATTGCCTTTATCGATTATAATGCGCAAGTGACTTTTTTCTGATTTTGAAAAATCAAATGGTATCCAAACAATTTTTTCGAAGAGTGTGACCCACCCGTTCCCGAAGTAAAAGAAGTTTGTCTCCCTCATTTCTTCTTTTTCCAAAGAAAAAAATCTCTCGGATTGCCGTTTGTAACTATGCTGTTGTAATGTCAGAGAATGTCGTCTTTTGGCGATAGACCAGAGCCATCCATAGAATCCAAACTTATTTCGAGATATTTCTGGCCATATCTCCGAATGTCATCTATGGATGGCAGTGGCCGTCTCAGGATTTGCTTCCAGGAGGGGGGGGGCAATTGTCTTTTAAATAAAGATGTGTGGCGTCAGTCACGCACTCCGAAAAGTTTTTGGGGTGCTTTCCAAAATTAATAATCTAGAAAAAGGGGCGCATGGCAGTAGCCTTTCGAAAAAAAAATTTACACGGCTAATTTGCATTTTCAAAATTTTAAGAAATTATTCCAATTACTAACAAGAATAAGCAAGTCACTTGCATTTTTATAACCCATGTGGGTAAATTTCATGGGAATCAACGACGCGACACAATTAGGAGGGTTGACTGCTTTAGTATTTATCAATTTGGCGGAACTCAGTATACTGCTTAAAAAATTTTAACACGAGAATTCACTTTTTGTGAAGAGCTATAAGTCCCATTCGCAGGCTATGAATTTTTTTGTTCAGGCAATGGCAACATATTGCTGCAATTCTAGTCTACCGGTATGCTGAGTTTGGGTTGGTTTTGAGAACATATATGGAAAATAAAACATTTTCGGACTTCTATGGACAGGAAAAAAGGATGTTTGAGAAATGATGAAAATGTTTTGCAGACTACATACCACTACTTTCAATATGGGGTACAAAACAAAAGGGAGACGTTGGAAAAAACAGTGAAAACGGTCAATCGATTCTCTTTTCTATCATAATAGGGAAGAGGGGATTCATATAGCCACAGCCACATAAGGTGAAATTCAAAGAAAAATGCTTCTTAAAGTGATAAAAAGTTGTCTTGACAAATTCTGATGTGGATGTCATCAATAAAATATCAAACTCTGGTGTACCATACTCAAAGCAATGCATAAGCAACTTTTGGCCTCGGTGGGGGAATTCTGTGCTAGCAGGCGCTGTCAGTGCTCGATTCAGGGCTCGGCACGAGCTGGCACCAAGGGAATTTCAAAAGTCCTCTCTGCTCTTGAAAACCTTTTACGAAGTCTCCTTTGATCCTAAACCCTAAACGTAAAAACCCTAAAAAAGCGAAACGTCGACTAAAAAAACCTCGCAATTTTTGTGTCTTTTCGGCCGCAAAAACGATATCCCTTAGCTTTTGGTCCTAAAAAGATATCCAGCTTGATCAGGTGCCAACTGTGCCGAGCCCTGGCTCGACTGCTTGCTAGAAAACTTTGAAATCTTCTTTTTGGGTGAAAAAAAAGGCTAATTATGAGCATTTACTCTACAGATGGCATAAAAATCTTCATTATTGACTACTCTAATATTATCAACACAAATGAAACGAATTGGAAACAGCAAGCTAATCATCGTCAGATTTCCCCACATGCATTGTGGAAAATGTTACTGTACAAGTGGTCCTAGTCTTGAACTGAAAAAAACGCAAGAAATGAAAGTACCGGTGAAAGAAAGTATAGTGGGTTAGGCAAAGATAGAGAGATACATCCTAAGGAACGTCGCGTATACAATGAACTTTGAAGATAATATGTAATATATTTGTACGTATTGTTGTGGATCAAGCAGTCATGTCAGCCCAATCGGCTTCTTCTTCGTCAGGTATATCAGCTCCATTGTGGTCTTTTCTCACCACTTTCTTGTGCTTCATACGACGGTTTTGGAACCAAGTCTTGACCTAAAAGGGTATAATTTGAGTCTTTAGTAGATGATGAGACTTTGATTGATCATTGTTTCTGGCTGGCATTTTTAAAGAACTTTTGAGATACCCGCTTTTTTTCGCACAATAAAAAGATGAATTCGTACGTCAGTTTTCAGCCAAACACCTATACTCTTCCTTGATATTTTTTCGGATGCTGACCCGGAGAAGAGATGCTCTTTTACATTTTGTTTCTGGTTAGTGATATAAGTTTGTTTTGGAAATCAAAAACTTTACTTGCATACCAAAATAATGTCGCTTGGGAATTGTTGCTTGCTTTTAAATGTACCTCATGAAAAATAGAGCAGTTTTATGCATAATCACCCAGATTAATTGCTTATTCATATTTGGAAAGTGGAATGTGTCCTAAAGATCCAATTAGGGATACAGATGTTTTCAAATTCTGACTCAGAACTACATGGAGTCCGTAAAATATGTATACACTGTTTGATCGTTAATATCTTTCTTCCGGTACCGTTTTGTAGTGCTGGCTTCAACTTAGATTTGCACTATAAAACGAATCACCCATCTCTCTTCGTTACTGTAGGATTACGGTGGAAACTTCAAAGAAGCTTTTGAGCCATGAAAGTCCATATTTTGCCCCAGAAAGGAAATAAAACACCCTGAAAGCTTTTACAGTAGGCTAATTAGAGTTATTCTAACTGTAAAGTTCCCAACTTATTATGATGCTTCATTGAAGAGTTATGCCGGGTAAGAGGTAGCGGCCATTTTCTCAATGTTCCTAGAAAGTGCGCTTACACCGTTTAGAAAGTTTCGCAACCTTGTGAATAGTTGAGTATTCAACTCAGCGTCCATAAAAACGCTAATACACAAGTTTTCACATTTTTTTTTTGAAAATTTTTGAAACGGCAGCTTTTTCCACATTGACACCATATGTTTCAAGTTTCTACCGTAATCCTACAGTAATGAAGAGAGATGGGTGATTCGCTCTATACTGTAAATCTAAGTTGAAGCCAACTCTGCAAAACGGTACCTGAAGCAAGGCAAAAGACTTGTTGGGAAGAAAGATATTAACGGTCAAACCAGGTATACATACTTTACGGACACCGTGTTCATGAATCAAGATTTATGTAAATCAGGGCTCATCTTGTAGAGCTTGCTTTGCTTTACTTTATGAAAGCGAATCTGAGGCAAAACATCATAGAAAGTTTTCCCATGGAGATCAACCGAAGGGAGAACGAATAGCCATGATAGGAGGTCCATTCTTTTTATTTGATTTTTTGTTAAACGTTGCTGTCTCAAACTCCCTTCTCGCCGCATGGGTGACCAATATTGTCGGTTCGGATCTGTTCAACTCCGTTCTCGTGTTGCACTCTCTACGATTTGTAGATGTGCCCGCTCTTAACACCTCGCACTAAGCCATCGCGAACGATTTCCACATGTTAAAATGCAAATCGACACTTCCATTCTGCATGATGTGTTGGGTATGAGTTCCGATGTAGCATTGGTAGTGGCCAGTTTACCGAGCAAAGGTATTTCCAGTATAGGAGAAATGAAAAGCAGATGTACACTACTAAAACTTTTGAAATATATGGGACAACTGTTAGATGGACTAATCATAACTTCCGAGTATGAATGTTCACGCGGAAATCTGCTTTGAAAGGCTTCCTCGGAATTACCTATATCAGTAGGTGAAGGCGAGGAATTTTTCGGCAGTTTCGATTGAAAGTCAAGAATTTTGAGAAGACGGCATGCCGAATCAAGAATGTCCATTTGTTGGTTTTCTCCGCAAGTCCCAAAATCCAAAAACCAGTTTTTTTTTTGACTTTTTAGTCATTGTAAAGTCTGTGCGTAACGAGAGATAGTTGTCTAATTTGTAGATTTCTTAAGGAAAATTCAAGATTTACATTATCCCAGTTTATTTGATGCTTGGAACGAGTAAAAAATTTGGGAATTCTGTTCGCTTAGGGGTTTTCAAAATAAAATCCTACATAGAAAGTTTCAAACTTGATTGCATGATTATATTGCATTTCTCATCTTCTTGAAGTGAAGTTATTTGTAGCTCGATGTTCGCGCCTGACTGCAGACAGTGCGCGATACCTTACGACTACCTACTGATAAATAATCAGAAAATATTTTCAAAAGGACTATTGGAAGATGATTGTTTACATCTGCATGTACTTAGTTGCGCTCGAAGTAAAAAATAAACAAAAGCACACGTCTTGAAATTGGCATTTCGTAAACACACTAGCGTAAAATACCGCGCGTGCTGTGCAATGCACAGAAGACACAAGGACTTGGCTGTACTCTTCATCTGTACTGAGCTTCCTTATTTTAATGTTTGATCCCTCACCTGTGTTTCGCTCAGATTGAGCGCGTTGGCGAGCTCTATCCGCTCCGGGGTGCTCAGGTATCGCTGGGTCTCGAACCTCTTCTCAAGGCCTTGCAGTTGCTGGTCCGAGAACACTGTTCGTGCTTTTCTTCTACAACTGAGAAAATCAAACATAAGATGAAAAATTCGATTTTTTCAAATAAAACAATTTTTTGGTCTTTTTTCGTCATTGACTGAAAATTTATATGTAAGTTGGCCTTTGCGAATTAGCACAGCAAATTCGCTTCAACAAAAGATTATGGCAAAGTCAAACCAAGTCCTGACTATTGTGCACTGACGCATTATCCTCATTTTTTGGTTCATTTGGAAAAATACGAATCAAAATTGATGACACCTTGTTTTTCGTGTGTTTGGAATTCGTGGGGTTATGGGGTTAACGGAATAATTTGAAATTTGATATTTTTAATCGGGTTCTAAGTCGAGTAATCTGACGTATTTGTGTCATTGATGCCACCGAACAACAAAACATTGCAAAAATACACAAATATTCGCATCGGTGAATTTCAACCTGTAGATTTTATCAAAAACATAAATACATCAGAAATATCCTCTTCTTGTTGAAAAGTAGGGAAACAGAAAAATCATAATGCTCAATTTTGAGAACTGCTACAAGTTTGGAAGCTCAGGGGTTTGCAACATATGGTACGTGTTTACTACCTTTGTAACTCTTATTTACAAAACCCTTTGATAGTGAAATGAATTACCTTCATGCTTTTTTGTACATATGCAAGTTGAAGACTTTTACATCATTCCTAACTAGAGAGAATTTAGTAAACAAAAATCAAACGAACCTCCTATATGACTTGGTGTTCGCAGCGATCCGCAAAGCATCCGAGGAAGCGGCTGCTGCCCAAAGTTGTGGGAGAACTGAAATGCTGTGAACTGAGCTCAATTGTGAAGATCGCAGCTTATTCATCAATATCATTGAAAGTTCATGACGGATACATTGTATTATATATTGATGCGAGTTTTGTGTCAGCAAAATTAAGCCCATGAAAATGCATCATGTGTTCAAGAAGTCTAAGTTTTCGAGACAAAATTAAAAACTATATATTTGAAGTGCGAAAAAGTTTCTTTGTCTGCATGGACACCTAAGCTAGACTGATAACCTTGAGCGCTAGGATGATATAGACTCTACCTTTCCTGACAAAAATCCTTGGTAAAAAAGCCACATTTTCAAGCAAATCATTCAAATATTTACGTATTCTCTCCTTGTAACTTGTTCTCTGGATACTTTACAGGACAATGCTTTGGCTAAATAGGGCGAAATTTAAATTTATTTGCGGATGATTTCAGATTTTTAGGGATAAGCCTGGGGGAGGGGAGGTATGAAAGGGCGATATGACATTTCTGTCATTTTTGTATATATCGAATTCTCTGACTAAGATCGATTAACATGTTTATGAGTGTGTTTTAAAGCGTTTTGGAAAGTTACTATTGAATTTCTTGTTGAAACGTGTTCAATGGCATTGTTCAACGAGCTCGAACATGTTCTTCCACGGATTCCCAATAGTAAATTTTTCCAAAACGCGTTAGGAAGCACTCATGAACTTGTTAATCAGTAGTACGTAAAGCGTGCTTGTGTCTCTTAGTCAGAGAATGAATGATTTTTTATTCTGAGACTAACTGCAAAAGGGTAGAGCTTTGCACAAGCTCAAACTTGTTCTTGCTCAAACTCCGAGCTGTAAATCGTCTAAATGAGATAAAGCTGACTTGCTAAGCACACATGTGCAAAGCTTTCTTGAGTCTACTAGTCTAAAAGTTGGAAAGTTAGCAACTGCAAGATTTGTACATTTGGTAGTTCCTTTACAGGACTTCAAGGCGTGTATAGCCATTCAGATGTCTTTTCAAATTTAATTCACAAAGAAAAGATGCCAGAAAATAACGGAAAAGGATTTTACGAGAAAAGCTTGACAAATAGGCTGTAAATGTTCGTATTTTTGAGGAGTTGGGGAAAGCAGAGACCACCATTTCATGCCAAAACAATACAAACTAAAAACTCCCTCACCTGATCTCTGTGCCATCAGCAAACTCTGTTCTAGCGGAAACGATGCAGCAGCACAACTCAACCAAAACGGCAGCTGATCCGCGCCGGCCACAGCGTTCAACGCTGCACTGGGCATGTTCACATGCTGTTCGACGGACTTCTTCACATCGTCTGCTCGCTGTGCAGTAGATGGTGGCGGCAGTACGGTAGCGAGAATGTCGTGACGAGATCGTAGCAGATCCTCGATCGAGAAGCGAGCCGGCTGCGAATCGGCCATCATCATATTTGCACCACTAATCGCCACATGACAGTAATGAAAAAGAGGCGTGCCGCCCGGACGCCATTGGCTGGCTGGCGGCGGGGGGCGGAGCCGCGGCTGGACGCACGGCCGAATGTTCGCAAATGGATTATGCAAAGCGAATTGCTATAAAGGACATTTTCGACGGATTTACGGTGTTGGTACGGGGTTAGCTCGCTAGTGTAGTAGTGAAAGTGAATGTATAGAAGCAGAACGAGGGAAATTGTGAAAATTTTTATGCTTTTCTTCCCAAGAAGAACTGAAGAAAATGCTGTTTTGTATAGTTAACAACATGTGTTTTCAGAAATTTTGGATAAATTAGTACATACAATTTTTTACGACAGATATATGTAACAAGTGGGTAGATTCCTCATCAAAGTGGCCAGTTTTGGACCTAGGACCGTTTAACTGTGAAAGCTATAAGCAGAGAAAAGAATAAGTAGTAAAAAGGATGGAATTTTGATATTGAGAGTATTGCTGTCTGACGAAGAGGGCTGGGCCAAAATTTAAAGAGTTTAGCTTCAGATCAATTCCTTTTCAAAACTTATCAAATCGTGCAGAAATAGAATCTCTGTTTATAAATTGGTTGTCCCACAAATATCCTACGCCATTTACGGCAAGGAAATCAACAATTTGGGTTAAACGAAATGAGGGAATGTGAACTAATTCTTAGGTCATATATAATAGAACGAATATCTCACATCTACATATAACAAATGAAGTTTGCAATGAAAAGCTATTGGGATTATACTCCTTCACTCTAAGATTATTTTGCAAATTTTCAATAATTGTCGAAAATTTAGGCTCCTGTTCCGCTAACCAGCTTTGATCTGGTTCTGACCATTTACAGAAGACTCAGCAATCTTTTATAGTCTATATTTTTTCTATCCCATGCCAAATAGTTCATGAACTTTTTATTTTTATAATAGGAAAAAAGGCCTTTCACAAAACAAAGAACTTTCTATGTTCTCAGGAATTCAGATAGGAAGTAGTGAAAAATCCGGTAAGAGGTTTGGAGGAGAAGACATATTGAAAACGTGTTGAAATTTTCCTACTTTAAAACATATTCTTCTATTTTCTTAGGGCTTAATAGAATCTAGCGAAAAATTAGCTAGATAATAACGGAGAAATATGTTTAAAAGTTTAAAATTTTCTCATTCAAAAATCCTTTTTTACAAAGTCGAACATGTACTTCCTGCACCGAAATCTGCATCAATCAACTTTAAAGATAATGCTAAGCCTATCGAGACAACATGACAACGAAAAGTCGAAAAGTTCTATGAGATAAGTTCATAAAACCTCTTGCAATTTGCAATTTCATCGTAAGTGAACGTTGTTCGGTTTTTCTGTTCCGAGCAATGAGCGGTTTTACGTTTGGCGATTAACAAATTTACATATTTCGATCGCTTAGTGCATTTTTCCGGGTTTTCCCGCAGATCCTGCCGTTTTCATTGTTCTGCTATCTAGGGACCATTATTTCTTCGAATATTCACACAAGCAGCTGAACGGTTCGGGGATAATTGTTGTTGGGCCTCTGAAAAGTGTGAACATACGTCGCAACGTGCCTTAATCGTCATTGTGCAATAGCATTAATTACCGTAACCATTTGATACGATGGGTACGGTAATTTACGCGTTTGTTAGGGCTAATTATGGACTCTGCAGAGGTTTTGTTAGATATTTGATCCCAAATCGCGCTGATACCAAAATTTTTACGATTTTTGTTATTCCTACTATAGTAACCCTCAAATACTCTCTATGCATGTGATAATGATTCGATTATAAGCCGTTAAATGCACAGTTGTCGTGAGCAATTGCTGTTGTTGGCAATCTGCCAATTACTTGCTGCCCTCCGGCCACTGCGCCACGAACCCCAAAGTGTCGCTAAAGCGCCCGATGAGCATCGCCATCAGTCTTCGTTAACTCACTCTATGATCCATTTAGGCGCTGAGGATGTGATGAGCACCGGGCAAAAAGCTTCGTATATGAAGGAAGACTATGTAACGTTAGCAGTTCTTGGAATTTGACGAAAAACGAAGGAAAAGTACTATTTCATAATGTTGAATTTGCGGAAAATTCTTGATTTCTCAATTAAACCTCAATTTCTTCTTTAAAACTTCTGTTTGAAGATTTTTTTGTAGTTTATTAGATCCTATTTAGAAAATCCCTTCAGATTCCTGTGCGATAGGATTTGTGAACTTTGCTTGCGGAGACTGCGTTTCTATAACAATGAACATTCTTACGTCATGGTCTTCTAAGTGGATTGGAAAGACACCAAACATAAGCAAAAGCGTTATTACCTCTTTAATAACTGGTAATTCCCCAGAGGCATTTTTCTGCGTTAAAGGGCAAATTGGGCCATTGAATATCACGCTTATTCGGCAAAGAGTTTACTGTAACTGAACAGAAAATTTTGTCATTAATCATCAAGCTAATTGGACTCAACTCATTGATATCTGTATGTAGGTTCGATTCGAAACAATAAAGCAAGGAAATAGTGATGCAGAAAAAATGTTTCTTGAATGAATAGATTTTTGATGATTCTCTTCCACAACCTCTTCAATGCTGTGACTGCTTCTACGAACTACTATTTTCCGATGGATGATTTTAGGAGGTTCAAGCTAATGAAACTGCGTGATTTTGTATGAAATAATGGACGGAAGTGCGTCAATTTAAAATTTCTTGATCCAAACTGAAACGAACATCTCGGGGATAGAACGATTTTATGACAATTATTACAGTTTTCTCGAAAACCTTGAGAGTGGTTGATATATGAAACAATGCTGTAATCGTATTTTCTAGCTTAAACTTGTACTATCAAAATCTCATATGTTGAGGGATTGATTTTCGTTATTCTGGTCAAGAGTAACAAAATCTTCTCTCAAAATACTTCTTGAAGGTGGTTATTTTGAAAATGATTATCTAATTTATAGAAAAAGTAAAGTTGCATAATAGCTTCCATTTGTCCCTTCTCTAAAACGGAGCATTTTGATTTTTAAGCTTTCTCCTTGGGGCTTCTTTGTGTGAGAGAGAGCCTGTAACTAACGAAAAAGTTCTTTTGAAGGAGTCACTTCTAACTTTCCCTGATTTTTTTCCTAATAACGTATATTATCTTCCTTTCCTTTTCCCACTGCCAATCCAAAGCGCTTCTAAAAGTAACAGAAAAGAAATTTGGTCCAGCATTCAAATATGCAATTCTATAATGGTATAATTGGTTCAAACTAGTTGAAAAAGGGTAATAATGTAAATTGTGGAATTTAACTTCATACAAATCTTTTGATTGGATACAATTTGAATGGAGAAATTTATACTGATTCTAGTTTCAAAGCAAGAATTAGAGTTGGCACATGGAGCTATGAAAGAAAATATTTGATTCACATTTACTCAACCTTCAGTCATAAGAAAAACCAGTCTCACAATAATTTGATTTTGAATTTGGCCGTGATTTTATAACCTACCCCTTTCAACCAAAAAATTATAGCTAATCTAACGTTTCTGCAAATATCTAACAATTCAGAATTTCTCGATCTGTATTATATTCTTTATGAACAAATTTCTCAAAACTTCCATTTCCATGAAAGACTCATTGGCAAAGTGCCACATTCTTATTACTCCTACGACAAAGTCAAGCGGCAGGTGTGTTTGAAGTAAATGACTATTGTTGCTATGTGAGAACAGTGACGAGTCATTAGTTGACCCTTTACTGGCGCAACTTTTGTACACACGACGGGAAGTTCGAGCACATGATGTGACCCTTAAGAACTTTTCTTTTGGCCCATCATGCGAGAGGGGAGGGCGGGGGGGGGGGGGGAGGGGCTGGGTGATTTCTGGTGCTTTTTGGTGCGACTTCCTCCTGTTGACAGCGAAGAGCGAAAAGGACGAGTGTTCTCGTCATCGTCTCTTCAGCTCTGCTCATCCTCATCTCATCTCGTCTTTGTTAACAATCTTGTAGCGCTCCATAAAAGCTTATTTCACTAATTAGTGATGAGCGGCCAATTAGTGCTTGCAATTATCGACCAATTATCTACAGTACCCCAGCTTGCGTCTCCTTTGAAAGGCTGTTGAGCTTTTCAGATTCATAGAAAGTTGTTTGTGCTCACTGCTGCTCTAGCGGCTAATGAGACTTCTTTCCACATTCAATTATCCATGAAAGGGAACGAATCTACTTCTTCTTCGTCTTCCAATTTGCAGCACATACTTTGACGCGCGTCGGATAGGCGACTTATTGTGCAAATTTTCGCACATCTGCGGACATCCGACACCTATAATTACGCGCATCCATCCTACTACAACAAATGTCTGAATCTTCTTTACTCTCCCCCCCCCTCCCCGCATATTAGTCGCTTGCAAATTTGAAGTGGGCGAAATCGCCCCAGAAGAGATGAGCTACGCGCTTTGACGGCGGCTGATTTGTACGTAATTGCGGACGACGGATTATGACACTTGAACTCGCACTTTATTAGCATACACACACCTGGTCGGGTCAACTCAAAATCCCACTCTATAGGGCATCGGCATCGATTTGTGAATTGATCAATTTACCATAATCGGAATTGTAACGAATTAGCGGGAATGTTGGATCCACGAGGCAACGCCCGAACTAGGAAATGGTGGTAAAGTGCAACGGATTGAAGTTGTAAAGGTTTTTAAAGTCACATGAAGCGAAAAACACAAAATTGCTGCTTCTTAGTTTTGTCCATAGGGCATACCATATTTCTATCCTAAAGCAACGAAATCTTTTAAATTGAAACTCAAAATTGTAGTGGAATATAGGCGTTGTAAGTGAAGTTGAACATCTATAAAGTTTATGTTACGCATGTGAAAAATAAGAAGAAATTGTTAGCTTTTCATAGCACATCATATCTGTTGGAACTTTGATATAGTTTCCCATGCTTTCGCGAATATCAAAGTTCTGAAAGTATGCGTATTCAAAGTGTGAATCGGGAAGTGCTTGTAAGAGAATAAAGCTGTCAGGTCACTTAACATCTTTATCCCCAACTAAGAAATATTTTGTGTTGCAGAAACATGACATTTCCCTCAAATGTCCTCTTCCGGAGCTCGAACTTAATGAAGGTAGAAAGTGCAGGAAAAAAATTTATTTTCGGAATACTATACCGTGCCGTAATCTTGATGAGAACATCTTTGCCTGATGGGCTTCAAAAAATAAAGGAGTCGTACACTACAACCATGATGAAGTTTATTGGAATATGTTGGAGCTGGTGGAGATTTAGCTGCGGCACTTCTGCTATATTGATGCATACTGTAGGGGTACGGGAATACAAAGATTTGAATTGCTTGCTTAACAGTGTACAGATCCACCTAGCTTTGCAAGAGAACTTATCGACATCATTATGCGAATTTTTTAGTGGAAATGCTTTTGATCTTTTGGCTTTTCAATCCTGTATCCGCGTGTAAGCACACTTTTGAAACTTCCTGAGAAGACTGCAACACAAGCAACTATTTTCTTCTCTGAAAGTGCATACCCTTTTCTTTCAACATCTTTTTGTGAATTTGCATCATTTTTCAAAGAAAACCACCAATGTGTATTTTAAAATTCTGGTCCACCTCTACTCCTATAAAAACAACTTCCTACAACAACTTTTCTAACAGCAATATGTAAAAAAAAAGCAGTTGTTTCAGTAATACTGTTTCAAAAAAGTAGTGTGTGAGAACTTTTTTGAAGTCCACTAGTTTTGATTATGCAATAAATCAAGCAAAAGTTGCGGGAATATCAAAATTCGTTTAGAAAAACTTTGAACGCAATCTTATTGAGTTTTGGAAAATTTTCGCACAAGCACTTCCTTAACATCTGCAATCTCTGTTGTCAAACTCTCCACCTGGCAATAATGTAGATTATTACGTTCACAGCAATTACTTTAGCAATATTTGGCAGTTGTAACACAGCAATTGTGCATGACGCAACGCGCAAGCACATACGCGCTTGTCTGTTGCCATTCGCATCGAAAAGCAACTGGCGTTTATCCGGGAAGTAAACATCGTACATTAATTAATAGCACACATCGGCACTTCTTTCTGGCGGATTATTCGCCACTGCGGCTGTGACTACAGTAATTGGATTATCGCCGACCTTGTCAGGACTTGGAGAGGCGTCTGTTCAGGAAGTTTAGGGCGTTCTTTACGCAAAATTGGTATTACAGCAGAACAAAAACTGATTTCTAAGGAAATGTGATGTTTATTTTTTCCACACTATACTCATATATGTGAAACACATCAAACAGTGCTAGTTCACTAATACAGCAAGAATGAAAAAATGATTTTTTTTGAAAAGTTGTAAAATTCATTTTTCCACTTTATTATGAACATGTAAAGCGTTGGTCCTGCAAAATCTCAAATTTTGCTAAAACAATGCAGAACGAACCATTGCTACTTATTGTCAACCATGGTTGACATCCATTCAACGATCTAGCATTTTTAATAAGGTTACGGTAGGTATACGGTAACAATGTACTCAAATTTGCTGTAACTTTATACCGAGGTTTTTTTTTGACAAACAAGCTTTGCGGCGTTAAGAATATACGGTATAGATGCGATACTTCAGAATTCGCTTTAACTTTGCAAATATTACCTGGCATGGTCATGAAGATAATGTTCACTCCCCGTGGTAGTAATTCTTGCAAGGATATGGTAGGTGTACGGTATGAGATCAAAATTGCATTCGCCGGCACTCGTATAGGGGGATTACTTGAAGTTACAGGTCATATCTCTAGTACGGTAGAACTACTGTAGGAACATGGTCTGGGATCCCATCCTAATTTAACAAAGACTTAGTGCAACGAAAGTATACGGCATTTAAGATACACGATATGTCAAATAACTCCTTGAAGCTTGAGAATTACACGCTGTACGAACACCTACCGTAAGCCCACTAAAAAGGTTCTACCTTGCAAAATGTATAACATTTATTTCGGTTCAAATTGCAACACTCATGTCAGCACGTCAAATAATCTTGTCTTCGAGATTACTCAAGAAAAATTTTGCGTTTATAACTTGAAGTTAAGATTATCAAATACTATGTCTATAATAGAGGTAGTTTCTAGCTAAGAGATCACAAAAAATAAGAATATTGCACATCACAATCACTATCTTCCTTTCTCTAGCCTCTCAAAGACGTCGACCCTCCAGTTCCGATGTCGAGGCCTCCTACTGACGTAGTGTGCTGATTTTGAGCTGCAAACACTTTTGCCAGGTGATCCATATTCTGCACACCCATTCGGTTCATAATGGAGCCGATCGACGGGAATCCAATAGACGTTCCCGTATTCACTCCAACGCCAACAAATGGACTCGCAACACCCTGGAAAGAAAAATAATAAAATAAAGTCAAAAAGTTGATAATGAATCCAATGAATTTTGACCGAATTAGCCTAAATAAGGGTTTGCATAAACTGGGTGAATGATAAATAACGAAAATTATTTCTTACAAAATATTCTAAACATGACAGAATGTGAGCGGCACTGGCAATTAGGTTTGGCAATCCATTCAAGGACAATAAGTGTTAATTGCTTTGCTCTCACTTCGGCCAAAAGGAAGTGGTAAGGGAGAGCAAAGACGATGTAAAAAAATTATCACCATTTGAGTTTCAGGACTTTTGAGACCTAGTTATGCGATTTTGTAAGATTTTAGAGAGGCGCGATTTTTATTGCCAGCTGAACACCAAACAGCATGATTTGGGTTTCGACGCTCTAGACAAGTTTGAAACTTGTAAGAAGATATAGTAGGTAACCGGCATGGGCTGTTCAATCTTATTACCACATAATAAATTCAAAACATGAACGTTGAAGGCCGAAAACCCTTGAAAATGCAAATAACATCATTTGTAAGCATTTCATTCAGTTTTTTATCAAAATGCGTCAAAAACAAGCATATCACTGAACTAGGTTTTTGAGCATGGAAATCGCGCCTGTTAACCATCTCTCAAAACGAAGTCAGCGTCTCAGAATACGGTACGTTGATTGGTTCGCTTAGAAAGTACGGTTTGGGCCACAGTTTTAAGCTGAATTTGTCGACCAGAATGGATCATATGACCTACCGTTAGGCAATCATTTACCTGGGGCCTTCCAATCATCACCTAAGATATCTAGGTATTCATTGTACCTGTTCAACCTTAGTAACATTCGGTCGACTTTTTAAGGCAGCATTAAGTATAAAACTCATACTATTAGTATTATGCATTTTGTTAACCTCATCTGAATGATATGATGAAAAAAAAAGTAGGAGAATAATTTCCAAAGCACTAAAAACATAGGCAGTGCACAAACTACTACCGATATATGTTGCTGGCTGACTTCAATAGATTCAAAATCATTTTTGCAAAATTCTGCTTTGGCTGATTGTTCTATCTACTTGAGCATACGATGTATCTACGTTAAACAATCCCCTCCCTTCCCCCTCCTTTCTCTCCGTTCAAGCGTTCTAACAAATTTTGATTAAGAGCATTGTGATAGTACATGGCAGGTCGAAAAACCTCTGACCAGCTCCAAGCAATGCCTTTGTCTCCTAAAATAGTTACCGTAATCATAGAAATGCATCACCGCCATGAGAGAATTTAGACACCATTAATGGGAGGTTAATTCACAGGCCCAAAAATTCTAGGGAATAAATGATTGGCAAGACTGATGTTAAGAGCAGATTGTTTTTGGAGACTACAGGAACTTACCCTGTTCCACGATACTCCTCCATTGTACCAGTCAACTCCTACACGATCTGCTACACCGAAGTAAGGCCCCACATGATAACCAGTGGTGGCATAGATGGGTTTACCAAGCTCACCCTCCTTCAGTGGTACGCTAACCTGAATAAATTGGTATTTTCCTATTTTGTCAAATGGTCGATCTTACCTGAGTGCCTCCACCACCTTCCACGCCGACGCTTTGAGCTATTGGTATGCTCCACCCCGTTTTATATCCATATACACCTAAGAAAGTAGGGTGAATATTTACCTCAGGTGCTAACCTGTAGGTAACCCACCTTCATACCAATTTGCACCTCCTTCCACCGTTTGTGACCAAAAATCTCGCACTCCGATGTTGTCAGAATATCCACCACCCCACGATCCGAAGTCCACCTGTACAAGGTAAGGTAATCTCTCGTCAGCTCATAGTTGCGGGACCCTTCCGTACCTTTCCTGTATGACCGTTTCCAATAGAACCTTCCTCGTTTACTGGATAGTACGGTATGCCATTGACATCCCAATTATAGTACGTAAGTCCAACACCAGACGAGAAAGCATTTGCTACGGCACCAAGGGGTCGTGCCTGCAAGTATGCTTCAAATTGACGCTAGGTCAGAATTTGACGGTGGAGCGCGCTGCCAGAAAGTACTTCATCATTTTAAGTAAAGGAAGTCATGGCTGTTGTCTAGATTGTAAATCCTACTTTCGAAAATATTAATGCTCAGCGAGCGAAAAAAATTTTTTGGGCATCTGTATGCAAGGGAGGTGAGCTTGGCAAGAAAGGGTAAATTTCAAATTTCGCGCCAAAAATGGATGCTCGCCAATAGCTTATTGACGGCAAAAACAAGTTGAGTCTTGGCCAATGCAGGACACGATGGCCGTGGCGCGAAACTGGGTGGGTCTGGTTTTTTGAATATGCACGTATTGTCGTCTTTGCGCGCATTTTGTCGAGGTTTGGCTGAGGGTCATAAGTTGGCTGTGGGGCGTAAATCGATTACTAGCGCAAAAACAAGGACTTAACAAGCTCAGTTTCTTGCTTTCATTCAACGCTAGCAAATTGAAAATCTCTTACCTGAGCTTGAAATTGCTGGCAATCCTCGTTGTAGCCTCGGCATTTATCTACAAATTGCTCCTCAACTTTTGGAGCATAGCAGTGCTGAATGAAAAAATTACGGATTTAATTCTTACTACAACCAAACATAAGTACATGTGGTCGGATATATAGTCTGTCTCGATTGCAGTGCACTGCGTCGGGCAACGCATGCGCAACGCGAGCACCACACGTGTCCGTCGCGTCAATTTCACTGCTCACATCAAACGCCCGCTAACTCGCGCAAAGCACTCGCAAGGCGGAAGTGCAAAGCGAGAGGACACTTTGGTTGAGACAAACTATGAACATAAGGGCAAAGTCAAAAAGAACTTGTACCTTTGCGGCAATCGGCGCAAATCTTGCACATAAAGCGTAGATCTCTTTTTGGGAAAGTCCCAATTGGGAGAGTGGTACTCTTCCTGCCGTCTAAAACATCTCGGATTGTTAGTACTGGTATATTTACCACAAAAAAATTTGACTTTGCAAGGAGAAAGTAATCTAAAAATTTTGTGCAAAATTATATACCGCTGCGAAATTCTGTACTCCACCGCTTGGCACCAAATCCTCAGTTCCTTGTTCTGCCTCTGTAATCTTTTCCTTAGATTTTTGTTTGATAAATCCTTCAGTAGATTTGTCATCGAATGGTTCCTTGCTGGGTAGAAGATCGTCATCCTAAAAAATAATTTTGCTCCAAATCAAGCGGCGCTCCATAATTACGGAATTTTGTAACAAAGTGGTTTTATCAAGAAAATGGTTGAGAATTTAAACTATGTACCATGCTTACCTCCGTTACTGCAGTCTTAACAGCATGTACACGAGCTCGTCCTGGATAGCCGGGACGAGATTTGATCATATCGAAAGGATTCTCGCTAGGAAAGTCAACTTCCCCACTCTTCACTTCTTTGATCTGCAAGAAAACAGCAGGATTTGCTTGAGATTGAAAAAAATACGATGCTATAGGTTTTTTTAGGGCTAACTTCCTTGAATGGTGTGGCTGGCGTCGGCGGGTTCGTTTCGAGAAGTTTCTCGGCCTCATCCACGTATGATTTAGGTTTCGGGTAGTATAGTTCACCAAGTCTTGGATCTACTGCTGTGTGCCTTTCTTCCTGTGCGTCTTCACTCTTGAGTGGTGGCAATTGCAGAAAGGGAAATACTGGAAAAACACTCTTCCAAGCTTTGGCGGTTTGGGCATGGAATCCGGATAATATAAACGCTATGTTGAAACTAGCTTCTTGGTAGAATATCGCTCCCAAAAAAATTGGTGTCCTTACGTGTTTTCGAAAAGTCCAGCAATCCAGTTCCTTGTTCTTTCTCTTCTCCAACTTGCAATGTGCCAATACCTCCGAAGGACATCTGAAAGGAAATTTTGAGAAGACTTTAAGATTTCATGACCAGCCCATATAGTCGAAAAATGGAAATATTATTTTTCAGTCATTTTAACATTTCAGGAAAAGAATTCTCAAAAATCTTTAAAGATCACCTCATAGTACCGCAAAAATGGTGCAATTTACGATCTTGATGTATACAATACTTTAAAGAGGATAAAAACTAAAAGGCCGGGCATACTTCACGCGATTTCAATCGATGCGATTTGGCAATTCGCTAGAAGTCTTCAGATCCAACACTAGCAAACTGTACATGCATAGTGTCTATAACTTACGTGGATTGAAAGAATGCTCTATTTTGTGTACATTTGAAATGTGCTTAGGACAGTTGGAATTTTGTCAAATCGACTGAAATCGCATGAAGTATGCCCGGCTCTTAACGCATGGAGTATTTTACCTTTTTTTCGCACTGAATTGAGATCGAATTCTCACTGTTCAAATTACAAGCAAATTTACAATAACACATGTAATTCCATCCTTCATAGAGCTATATTTACTCAAAATCTCTGTGAAACTGACCTTGCTCAGCGATCCACTAGTTTTTCCAGCTGTTGTCTCCCTTTCCATGTAACCGAGGTTAGGCTTGTCTGCCAGATCATAAGTCCCGCCATTCGGGGTCTCGTCACTCATACCGGCTAGGATTAGACTTTTGAAGGTCACACACCGAAGTTAGGGAAAGCTTTGAAAGATAGTTATGAAATGTACCTGGTATAAACTTCGCCATGGTGCTTTTCACATCTCCGACTCCGAATGTTCCCAATCCGGGTAGAGCAACTTTGGCGTCGTCACCATCCCGTTTACCGACAGCTAATGGTCCTGAAAGCACAAATACGCCTCCAACATTTACCTAAACCATATTTTTTCTAGTTTTGTATACAACGGTCTATCTTGTCAACACACAAGCACTAAATCAATCATTAAACACTCAAAGTGCGGTTATGAACCATGTCTAATATGTAAAAACATATCAGTTAACTCAAAGTAGAAAGGAGGAGAAGCCCGGACCTAGAGCCTGAAGAAACGCTGGCGGTCGTCTTCGGATCTCTCTTCGTTCTGAGGGAAGAGTGTGAGCAAAAGGGGCATCGGTATCGCGTCGAAATCGAAACCGACCTGCTAAATGATGCAAAGTAAGTGATAACACAGAGTAAGAAGTAGAAAAAATTCAATTTTTTTATTCAAAACCCAAACACAAGCTGCTTACAATGGCCGCGAAACTCATTTGCAAAAATTCCCCCTTCGAAAATTCTTCTAGTTAAGAGCCATATGTCTCGTTTCTTTTTTTCTGACCACCGAATCAGATAAAAATAGACGAGAAGGACGGCTTTGAATTAGAATAGACGCTTTGAATTAGAAAAATTCTTTTATATTGGGATAACTTAATCCATAATTTAGAATTATTGTAACTAACTAATTCCAAAGGCTAAATTTTGATCAACATAAAAATGCATGAGTGTCATTTAACCATATTAGTTCAAAAATGCATGACTTTCAGAATGTATGAACTTTCCGATGACGAGAAGAGATAGCTTAAGGTTATACACATTCTTCACATCTTACTCTTTTCCAATTATTAGTCTCCTTTTCAGTACGGCATATTATAACTGTAATGTCAGTATACAAATAAATACAAACAAATAAGTAAAAACACTCATAATGATTTGCTAGAGATGCAAAAAAAAATTTAGATAATGCTTTTAATTCGTCCCGAATTGCTTGACATCAATCTCGAGGCTGGTATTTTCAACGCTAGCGAAAGCCATTTTCTATCCGTTAGCTATGAGAGCGAGAATGGATAGCGATACGATGTCTGCGCGATTCTTTGAAAATCATGGAATTGAAAAAAGTTTACGAACACGACTTTACGACTTTGAAACAAAAACACTAGAAAAATTAAACTCAGAGGACGATTATGTAGGTTACACTTACACTAGAATTTTGTGGAAAATAAAAAAATCAATATAAAGCGTAGTGCGGAATATAAACTACCTAAAGAAGCCTGTATTGAATAAATTAGTAATAGTTGCAGAATTAAGAATCGCATTGCTTTAGCAGAAGAAACTCTCCGTGTGGTGACAGACTGAGAGGTGGAACAGGTGCGGAGGGCGGATGTCGAGCGCTAAGCTTCGAATCCAAAACGAGAACAGCTAACCAGCTTTGATCGCTTTCGTAGAATCTTGGATCATCAATTTGATAACGTGGATGACACAACTATGCCGAAATTTTCCCAGTTCCAGTGATTATCTTGAGTTAAAGGCTGATTGAGCGCATTCGAAACCTTGAAATAAAGGTAATTCGAATATGGTTAATAGTTACTTGTACCACATATGCATATTTTTGTTCGGTGCTGCAATTAAACAGCTTTGAGCAAAGACAAGTGTTGCTGGATTTTACTAATACCCGATAAATTTATGTAATAATAAGAAGGACTTTCAATTCACAATGTGTAAATAACTGAAAGGCTCCGTTTCATTTCTGCTTTTAGACGAAGTAAAAGCTATTACAGATCTTCCCTGGAACCCTTCAGTAAGTAAGGAAAACCTGTAAAACTTATTTTCAATACTGGGAAGTAAGTTTGTTTAGGAGTAAAAAGTACGTGCAGGAATTTTTTGAAAAGTAAGGTTAGCCTGTTCTTGTTTTCCTAGCAAACTTAGGATAACATTCGATAAGGCGAAGCAAGCCCTACCAGTTGACAGTCGAAGATCTGCCCAAGTCGTAATCCAGATAAAATTTGAAGCCGAAAATCAAAATTTTTTCTATCCTAGGAATCGGATCCTCTCAGAGAATTCTTACAAACCTCCAACTCGGTCGTTATACAGTAGACACATGGAAATACCCAAAAATGTATTTGATGGATTTTTTCCATTGCTCAATATTGAGACCATGAGCACATACAGATTTGGTAAGATTTTAAATTTACACTTACTAACTTGTAGTAAGCAATGACGTATGTGAGAGGGGCTGGGGGCGGAGTTTGCTTGCTTTTTTTCTCGCTTTCTATGTGCGGAAAAAATCCAAGAAGGGCACATTTGAGTAATATTATGTGTCTAGTGTATACTAACAGTGTATACTAGAAAAGATTTATGGAATAACTTACGAGAAAACACAAAACTTTGTTTGATGGTTGTCAAGGTAACTATACAAAAGTGAGAAGAACAGGAAGTGAATACACGTACATGATAACACGTATGGTAATGAGACTCAATATGTTACTCTTGAATTGAATAAAACTAGCAAAATCTCAAGCGCTTTGCTAGTGCCAAAATAGCAGGTTTTAAAATCCAGCAGGCTTCTTGAATCGGAGGATTGATTGTAGACAGGTACGGTACAAAGAAGCTGTTCAAAAACTCTTTTTTCTTTAATTGTCAGATCCAGCATATACCCTGCAACCCTTTATTTAGGGAAAAAAGCACGAGTGTAAGATAGTACACCTAAAGCGGATAGCAAATCATATGTTAAGTTCTTTTTCATTGTCTCTTCACAGGCAAATAACGAAGGAATTGTCTTGTGCATGTGTATTATTTGACTAGGGAGCTGGATCTGTACTAAGTAGAGCTTACCGGGAAATGATTCTAATTATTTTAGCCTTGCCCTCATAGAGATATGCGAAAAATATGTAAACCTGAAAATTTTCAGCATAAAAATAATATGTCCTTGCAGTCCTTATAAATAGCATAGAAACTGCAGACATACGATCACAAAACTTTTGCTCTACATAGCAGAGAGGCCCAGTAAAGCCATATTAAAAGACAATTTTTCGGTTTTTAGCAACGAAGAAAGTAAAAATTTCCGAGAATGTGTCTTTTTCTATTGTTTTGGTGAGAGCGATTTAGTATATTCTCGGATTTCCTACATAAATTTTTGTGAGAAGAATTTTCGACTTTGTTATTGCTGCTCAGTCAACTTTTTTCTACACATAAGCAGAGACCACATACGGGATGAGCTACCTTTCATTCTCATTGGAATGAAAAAGGAATGCAAGCAACTTTAGGGCTAGAAAATTTTCCTCACACTTGCTGCGATGATTTTTGGGTATGCATAGAGCTGCCAAGGATATACAGATTGTAAGGCGTTTCGAAACAAAACAATATTCCACCAATCTTTCGGATTTATTGGTATTGATAAGTTGATCTTTGTCCTTTTTGTTCAAATTCATTTGTGGGCAGCTAACCCTGTACAAAGCACCGGCAAAATTTACGGTGTCAATTTTTTCAGTCCTCGAAAATGTTCCAAGAGCTAAAGTATAAAAACTCTTGATTCTTTAGCATAAGATTAACACATTCAGGATAAGGCCGATGTTTTGATGCTTACCATTTTGGGAACAGAGCATATTTTGCAATGTTGAGTTTGGGTAATATTCTTTGGCTACTAATTAATCCTGACATAGTAGACTACCAAAACCAAAAATTCAGCATACGACCCACCGGTGGGTCGTATTATCCAAAACGGTAGGACGCATACGACCCACCGGTGGGTCGCATTGTCGTGAATGTGTTAAAGTATAATATCTCGGTAGAATGTGAAGTCGAGAATTTGATCCTTCGCCATATGTTGGCATCCCGCTGAGTGAAGCACCATCGTACTATATAGATAGTCAGATACATCTGTTTGATGTAATCTTATCCGCCTAATGACCAAAGACACCTACGACAATCAGTCGCCAAAACCTTTTCCAAATGATTTTTCAAAAATAGATGTATCAATAATATTTATAAAGACTTGTAGCGGTAAATAAGTGTCAGTCATGAAACAATAGAGTGACATTTTCAAAATCTCTCGAAGTCTAAAGCGTCATCAATATCTGCTTGTGCCTCGATGATGATGGCATATATGAAATCCAATCTTTGAAGGGCTTTTTGCCAAGCAGCATAGTAAGAATTTTTCTTCTTTCTTGCCTCTTCCAATTCCTGAAAGAAAAAGTGGTCTTTTAGAAATGAGTTAATATGATAGGAGAAAAATCTCAAATACCTTTTGTAATCGTTCTTGGACCAATCTAGCATGTTCAAGTTCTTTTACCAATTCAGCATGTTCGATTAGTAGATTTGTATGTCTATTGTCTTCACATCCTGCGTAGAGCTAAAAAATCAATAAATTGATTGATCACGAAGCTGGCACTGAATCAATGCAAGTGTCAGCAAACTAATACTTACAAATTTATTTTCCTTTCCGTCCACTGATTCTTCCACTCTGTTTATCTTTGACATAGTCGCGCTTGTTCCTTAAATTGGTTTATTTACTAAATTTAATTTATGAACTCTAGCTCAATAATGTAGTCAAACAAATTTTATAAATTTACAATAACAACAAATTAGTACAGATAATATATGATTTTGGGTCTTCCTTCCTTACTGAGGAGTTCCGGGAAAGACCTAGAACTCATTTTAAACTCCGTCTAAGGGAAGTAACGAAACAGAGTGACGTTGTTTAGTGTTCTCGCAAAATATTCTAAATCTCTTCAATTTTGGCTATGGTTACACTTGAGAAGTGTTAACATTTCAATATTATTACTAGTTTATTTTAAGCACACATTGTTGCACATAGAGAACGTTTTCTTAGAGAACATACGTATAAGAGTCTGGATCAGACAAAAAGAAGGAAGGACGAAACAAATGAGTCGAGGTTCGACTAGCAGACGTGAGGTACTTGCGATAACTACTCAATACTGAGCATCTGTGCCATTTTATATGGCTAGCTGACCTTTCTGGTTGTTGCGAAGTGATGCGCATAAGTTACGCCCATACTCAATGACCAGAAAAAGACACATCTGCTATAGAATATCGTTATCTCTAGGTATTGTATTTCACATTAAGTTTCCACTATTAATATATCCTTGGGTCAAAATGCTACAATCATATAAACCATCGAAAATTATTCAAATTATTAGCGAACACCATTGATTTCACAAGAACTTTTTCTATGCCATTTTAAGAGGAAAACATTATTTAGCATTTATCTTTCTATGGTTATGAAGGTAATCAAACCAATGACGTCATTTGGATTGGTCTGATATTCACGAAAAATTTAGATTTTTCACACACTTTCGCCCTACACATGCTTGAAGGCACCGTCCACCCAAAATGGAGGTTGGCGAGATTATGATGGCATACTAGTGTGGGCCCCCATACTAGACAAACCCCCCAAGTTTCGCCGCAAAAGATTGCTTCTGAAGCGAGAAATCCGCCCCGGAAGTAACAAAAGTGGGCGGGGCGCCCCCGGTCGCCCCACCCACTTGCATGCTTTATCTCGCCTGCACTTGTTGCAGAGGGTTCTCGAAACAGGGATTTTTGGGGGTTTTGCGAATTTTCGACTCCATATTCGGAATCAGGGCTTTCAGAAGGCCTGAAGGCGACAAAAACATTGAGTTCGAGCTGGGTGGACCGCCGGGGGCGCCCCGCCCATTTTGTTACTTCCGTAGCGGATTTCTCGCTTCAGAAGCAGTCTTTTGCGGCGAAGCTTGGAGGTTTGTCTAGTATGAGGGCCCACACTAGTATGCCATCATAATCTCGCCAACCCCCATTTGGGTGGACGGTGCCTTTAAGTCCGCATGTAGAAAAGATTGTTGACAACAAACATTCTGCTTCTCTCTTGAGATAAACGGACTTAATTGTTAGTGGGACTTACCTGCAGTTACCTCAACTTATTTGCGGAGGAGTTGCAAGATTGTTGACAGCGTGAGCGTACACTTTCTTGTTACTCTCAGGTTGTCCCAAAAATTAACTCCATTTTCAAATAAGAGCTGTCCTTGTTTTCCTGATAGATCCAGCGTACCGTCCGATAGAGCGGAGCAAGCTCTACAAACAGAGAACCAGGGATCCACCTAAGTCGTAATCCGGGTAAAATTTGAAGCCAAAAATCGAGATTTAAAGCTACCCTAAAAATCAAATCTTCTTCCAGAAAAATCCTACGGACATTCAACTTGGTCTTCATACAGAAGATACATAGTAGTACTCAAATATGCATATCTTGATTTTTTTTTCCGGATTTCAAAATTGTGAAACAAAGATGGTCCGAAAATGCCAAAATGCCATTTTTTTTTCGGGTTTTCATGTAACTTGGTATTTCTTGATTATAAAAACACATACAGGTGAAGTTTTGAGATTATATTAGGTCGTCCCGAAAGTTCGTTCGCACCATTTTCAAAAAATCATAACTTCTTTGCATCAAAATGATTTTGCGCAATTTGAATTTTGTTGGAAAGCTTCAGGCATGTAGTTTCCAAATGTACCCTAGTGACTTTCCAGAATGTTCAGATTGCAAAGATAAAAATGAAAGAACGAGAACATCCGAAATTCGGAATTTTTGAGCAAAAATTCTAGAAATTCAGAAACTGTGCGATAAAATCCAGAAAAGCCATTATCATAATTTTTCTTATATTTGATTAATAAATAAGTTAAGTTTGTGCCGATCGAGCTCTTCTTTCAAAAGTTATGATTTTTAGAAAAAAAATTTTGAAAATCACTTTCCTAAGAATTCTTAAGAAATTAATTTTTCGGCATTTTTTTTTTAAAAATCATAACTTTCAAAAGAAGAGCTCGATCAGCACAAACTTAACTCAGTTAGTAATCAAATATAAGAAAAATTATGATAATGACTTTTCTTGGTTTTATCGCACAGTTTCTGAATTTCTGGAATTTTTACTCAAAAATTCCGAATTTCGGATGTTCTCGTTCTTTCATTTTTATCTCTGCAATTTGAACATTCTGGAAAGTAGCTAGGGTACTTTTGGAAACTACATGCTTTACGCTTCTAAAAATTCAAATTGCGCAAAATCATTATGATGCAAAGAAGTTATGATTTTTTGAAAATGGTGCGAACGAACTTTCGGGACGACCTAATACTTAGTAAGGTTTGTAGTATACAAAGACATATGTGCGAGGGGCTGCGGGCGGAGTTTGCCATTCTTATACTAATCTTTTTTCTCGCTTTCTATGCGCGAAAAAAAAAAACAGTGAAGGTATTTTCGAGCACTTCTAGTGCCTGGTGTATCATGACCTGAAGGTCCGCAGGACTTTTTCTTGCAAAATCCAATTTTCATATGACAAAATTTTTTCGATTTCAACCTTTACATGGAATGCGACTTAGGTGATTTCTTGGTTGTCATTTTGTAGAGCATGATCTGCTCTATCGAATAATACTCTAACATAAGTCTACTAGGAAAACAAAACCAGCTTGAATTGTTCAATAAAGGAGTTCATTCTTGGGACAACCTAATAGCTAGGAAAGAGGGCTTACATGTCAAACTTTTGGCATATGTGAAAATTTGGGTCCTGTATGGATTTAAAGGACCCGCGACACATAGGTAAATAACTAAAGCATGGTTCCAGGGTGTCGTCTCATGTGACTTCTACTCTTTCCTTCTAAGGTGAGTAGTGTTATTTCAGAATTGTTTGCATAGTCTTTCTTTCACATTCAGTTTGACTTTTGCTGGCATTTTATGACAGACGTCATATTAGATTCTAGTCTCTGAACCAGGCGAAGACGTCAAATAATTTCCAAAAAAAAATCGTCAATAGTTTCAAAAAACACTTTCTCTTTCAGCAACATTAAAGGCATTGTCCGGGCAAAAACTCGAATTTCTAGAAAATCCACTTACCACGGGTTATCCGTAACGCTGAATCCGAAAATCCACATTAGAGGAAGTAAAAACGGCGAGAACATGCGTTTTCCAAAGCCTTACAATTTAAAATTCGGCGGTCCTCGCCAAGGCTGAGACGCAGAGTCACTGCGGGATCCTATGAGTTTGACTGTTGCGGCATGCGTACTCTGCCGCATAGCAGGAATTCGGACAGCTCGGAGGACTCCGCCCCTAGGCGTAAGTTTCCCCACTTTTCGGTCGTTTTTCTTGCTCTAGGTTGCGCATTATGACGTCGCACTTGCGCGTTGTATCTAAGGAGAGCCACTCTCGCATGGCACTGAAATCCCAAAACCTCCATCTTGCCCGGACACTGTCTTTACACTACCATAACTCAAAGTCATTAGATTTCAATCGTATTGATTTCTTCAGTTGCACCTAGACTCGTCTTGATATATAATTCCTAGCAAATCGCGTTGTCAACGATCATTTCTAGCCCACTGCCCGGCTGTTACACTTCATCGGTCATCATCCATGCTCCCCCCTCCGCCCACTTTCTGCTCCCATATGATGGAGCGGTAGAAATGGGACAGATTCAGTCAATCATTAGTGTCCAAATACCAAGCGAAATGGATGAAAGCTCAGAACTATAGATCGACTCAAGCTCAGCATAACCTTTTGGCGGCTGGAAGGCGGGGCTTTGCGACCTAAATAAGGCCGCTGGCACCCGCGACGCAGTCTGCGTCTCTCTCGCGGCCTCTCCGATCATTAGCCTCAGTTGGGTCACGAAGCCCCTCCTTCCAGCCGCCAAATCAGTTGATTCAAGGGTATTCATAAAGTTCTTTATCGGAATTGACCACATTCCTTTTGGTATTGGTGCCATAAAAACTTCATCATAAACCTAGAGATTGCTCGTGTAAATGGTGGTAATCTAAGTTGCTATTCTTCACAGACATTTCCAATCTGAATGTTCGAAGCGACACCTAACAACCATGAGCATCAAGGGTGATTGGAGTAAAAATTACCCCTCATCGTCGACATATTCGTAGATAGTTTGAGCAGCGCTGATTATCAAGATTGACGAAAAACTGCACACCGTTTCCACAACAAAACTCACCGAAAAAGTACTTAAGCAAACGTGCAAACATTGGCGCACGTAGTCGATGCACAGTTCTAAATAAACAAGCCTCTACCACCCTATCGAGGCAAACAGATTTTTCATGCGATCAGCAAAATGGATACGAAGTTGTGCGCGGCAGAGGTAATGCTCCTACAGCAAATGAAGCGATTTTGATGATGCATGATTTTCGTGTTGGTAAGACCGGCTCATACTCTGTTAACTACAAATCGATCTTGGTACCCACTAAGAATGTGTTGAATGAACTTGGAACTTCGATTTTCGTAGCGAAATACTAATTGGGAGACTTCGGCTAAGCTATTGCTCAAGCGGCATCTCATGTGGGGTGCATTCTCAACCAAATAATTCAACCCTACACTTTCGCCCAGACCTACCGATGAACTCACCGGTCGGCTCGGAAAGAGTACGGTTTGGGCCGACAATTGCATCTGATAACCTTCTTGATCGCGATTGAAACATTCAAGTCACTTGAGCAATGGCTTATCAGCCCCAACCGCTATCCAGATAAGAATCCCAGATATTCAAATTTGCCTCGAGACTATCTTAAGACGCCGAATATCTACCTTGACATTACAAGAAAGGTAAGTATGATTAGTTTATTTCTATACAATGTACATGTTCATGAAGTGGAAGCTCACAAGCAAGATAATACCTTACATAGATCATGCAACATAGTGGTAAAGCTTGAGATCGTGAGCATCCCGCGCCAAATAATCTCTTTCGATCAAAGACTCTATTCTCTTCTTGATCAAGATTGGATTCGGTAAGAACCGATACTTTAGCTGCTGCGTCACCTACAACAAAATATTTTCTCCATACTGAATCTACCAACATAAAAAATCGTTTACCTCGGTTATGAGGTTGTTGTGATCGAGTACTTTCCTCGACTTCATGACGCGAACAATAGCAGCTTCAACTTCAGGTTTTCTGTCATCCTCCACCTGAAAAAGTGTAAACTAGCTATCGAGTGATAAAAAACCTTAATACATGCTGAAACAAAGACTTTACCTTGGATCTGGTCTCCTTCTTTTCTGGTTCCGACTCGCCTTTAGATGTCACCAATTGAACCTTGATACGGGTCAACTTGGATTGGAAGTTGTCGTTAACCGAGAACTCGTCTGTGGCATCTAAACAAAATAAATTTGACTTCCTCTTCACTTTCAATTCTTCTGGTGTGCCTTGCAAATCATATAAAACCTGTTCAGATTGCAAACATTATGATGTGCTCTTTGCTTTTACAAATTTATAGAATGCTTGAAGAGACAAAATAGTAAAAATTGGCGACAAAAATCACAAAAGGGAGTGAAGCTACTATGACCTGTTTAAACTTACCTATGTCCTTCCCCTTCCCTTTTCTACACAGGACACGCTGAGTGGGTTTGCCCATTGCCAATGATTGCAGATTTCGCTTCAACTCCCTTTCGGCTATACTTGTTTGCTCCTGCAAGATTTTAGATGAGGTTAGAGTTACAGCTTAATAGCACCAAATATACCGAAAGGGCTTGGAATGTGAGTCGAGGCTGATTGTTGAAGCACATAAGGATGACCATTTGATGAGTATTAACCATAAGAATTTTGTTCTCTTCCTTTCGAACTTCTCGAGCGTCCGAGGTGCCAGGCTGTAAACAATCAGGACAAAATGAGCGAAAAACCCCAGTAGCAACAAAATGTTCAAACTCAAGCATATAAAGGAAAGGAAAGATGGGCATCTATCAAAACTCACAGCTGCAGCATTATTTCCATAGAAAATAGCTTTTACTTCTGCGGTTCCCAGCATAGTATTCAACGTTAGTTTGCGGCCGCTATGTTTATTTACATAGAAGTTGCTGAACATCTGCAAAAAAAAAACAAATGCGTCCAAACAAGATCAGGACTGAGAAGGCAATATTCGCAAAAAAAACTCACAGTGAACGCATGCTCACAAACTGGAGGTAAAATGCACACCGGAACGCTTTGCGTAGGCCAAATTCCAGCTGTCAGTACGCGCACCGAGATGTCGACCATATTTTCGCCACGCAAAAACTGTGAGAGATCAGCTATTTATACTGTTCAGGATAAAATGTAAACAGTCACAGCTTTGAAAACGAGTACAGTAAGTTTCGACCCGTTTAGGCACGCGCCATACTTGATCCGCTTCGTCATTGGTCGATTCAGTGAATCGAGCAATAGCGAAGCGGTTGTCCCTTGATCCACTTCATCCACTTCACTATTGGTCAGTTTACTGAATTGACCAATGATGAAGCGGATCAAGCGGATCAAGTGGATTAAGCGGATCAAGTATGGCGCGTGCCTTAGGCGGAAATTTGGCGGGATCCTATCGTGCTGAGGGGAAACGGTCAGGAGGTACGATCGCCGCGAATTTTTCGCGAAGCGAAGCCGCAGCGCACTTCAGCCAATACAACAGCAACACTTCTGGTGCAGTATTACTTTGGCATCGAGTACATGTTTCTGCTCCCACCCCTGCCCCGCTGTTTTTGCCGTCGGAACTCTAACAGTGGAGAGATTTGTGAGTCCCAAGATTTGGACGCGGCGTCGCGGCGGAGCGGTGGCCGCGCGAGGTGTACCTCCTGGCGTGCAGCCGTGCTGAAAACCCATGTCTGCGTATCTTCAGTCTCCTTAGTCTTTGCTTGGCAAAATGCCAGCGATATGCGCTCGCGAAGGCTCCGATGTGCATGCGCTGCTCCACTTAGAATGCCTCGCCTATTCCAGGATAAAATCGACTGTACCAACTGATGCAATAATTGAGAGTTCAATCAAACGTTTTTTCCTCAAGAAAACATACGTTCTCGCTATAATCCTTGAAAGCTGTTGCTTGAGTAGTCCATAACTCTTTATCGCGGAACATATTCTCCAACTTGAGCGTAAAATGACAGCCGCATTCCGTCTGAAGAAATAATTATGATGCCAATTCTGAGAATGTTAGTGCATGCCGACAATCTATCACAAACTGAATGAACTATGGTAATTATTTCATTTTCTACCTAGAAAATAACCATTTCATAGTATTGAGAAAAGAATTGAGATATTCTTATTTATCAGATTATATTCGGCTTTTTTTCAACACTTCAGATCCCATTTATCTGATGATCTTTCGGGACCGCAGAACCTACCTTGAGCTTGCTAATCATCATCCTTTCCATGTCATCCGAAATACTCTTATCAAGCAGCAGACGTCTTGCCATATGTTGTTTGTAGTACCTGACGCAATTATATAAGCGAATGATTAAAAGCCGCAAGTGATGACCAACTTTTCAAAGACATCTTTCTCCTGTAGGAAACGGAACAAAGCCATGGCTTTATCGAGCAGTTTTTCAGCATTTTCGTCATTTTCCTGAAACAACAAGCCTCTATTACAAGAATATTAACGATCGAACGAAGACGCCCTGGCTGCTTTTCATTGTTGCTTTCATGGCACTTTTTTGTTATACTACGTAGATAAGGATAAAGTCCAGTCAGCGAATTATTGTGTAAGTCGGTCTGAGCAAAATCTATCAATGGTGTGGGCAATCTTCACTTTTCCTGAGCTGACAAACTTATGCAAGGGTTAGGCACCAAACTAAAAGCCTATTGCGACGGCTTGGACAGACTATTTTCAGCTTATGGCGGTGGATGTGAGTAAACGCCAGTTTAATCAAATTTTCAAGATAAACCAGATTTACGAACAAGTTTCTAAAATCAGCGCCAAATTCAAGAATGAAGAAGTATAGAGCAGGCAACATCAGCGAATCCACTAACTGAGCAAAAAAGAGGCTAAAAGCTAATCCAGGAATCTCCAAACGGACAAGCTTAACATAAGCAAACTAATAGCTCACCGATTTCAATCCTTTGCGAAGCTTTTCGTCCATGTAAAGTGACAAGTATTCTGGACTGTTCTTATTTAAATTGATGAATGACTCAAATTCTGTCTGGATCCTATTCTTGAACATCTTATCCCGTTGGAATGACATTCTAAGGAATTCGTCAAATCTTTCCTTCAAGTCTAGTAAGTCCTGAAAAGTATGATTAGCGTGGTACAGATCTTAATTAAAATGCAAAACTGCTAAAATCCGCGCGCGGAAATTTTCACAGCAAGCAAAACCCACAGAAGCGAAGGAAAGCAGAAAAAACCAAAAATTATCTATAATGTGCTTACCTCCACAAAAACTATTGGAGATCGATCACAGTCTTCTCTCACGGTAGCAGCGCCGGTCTGACGAAGGTACCTGAAATTGGTAAAACATCAAGAAAACGCCCAAAAAATTGAGGGTGGTGTCTTTTGATATAATAACAATAGCGGGGTCTCTAAAGTAACTGCCCAAGTTCCCTGGAAAGGGTGAAGTTAGACGTGAGAAATTTTTCGAACAGGTGTGCGGAGGGGTCGCCCCCCCCATCACCATTGGTAGTCTAAAGATACAAGTTATAATTATTAACTGTCAAAATTGTTAAAACGCCTTTCATGATGATATGAGACTTTCAACGACTTTGAACAAGCCTGATCTTCGTGTATTTTCAGACCATCCACGTGAGGAGAGCGAACGCCGCTTCTAGCCTCTAAAGCCACTATCTTGCTTGGGATTTCTTCTGCAGTGGGATACGGGCTTCTACTTGGTTAGGGACCCCGCTTTTGTGCGTACCAAATCTCACACTCCTCCATTTTGAGTCGGCGATGAATTTGAACACGATAAATTGCAAGCAAGAGATGTCACATCTTGTTTCTCATATGAACACAGAAAGGAAAGGCACAGTACCTGCTGACAGCATCGGCCATAACGTTTAGGCCATTTTCCACTCTTTGTAAAAGGCCATATAGTGAAGCAAGCTGATTGTGCTGCAAAAACACTTTATCAAAAAAAGGGAGAAAATTCGTGATGAGGGAAGATACACTGAAGTGCAGAAAGCGAACGATCATTAATTTGAAAAATGAGAATGAAAATTGAAAAAGTACAGGACCTTGTCATTGCTAAGCATCACATGGACACCACTATGTTCCATGTTAACGATTGTGTGCATGTGGTCCTTGATTAGGACATTTTCTAGTACCTAAAATGCAGAGTTGAACGTAAGTATTAAATTAGATGTTTCATGTATAGGTGCAGGTGAAAGTCACATACATCGAGTACTTTGCTCTCCGTCTGAGGATCAAGATATTTCTTTGCTCTCTCCGATTCTTCTCGAATGCATTGCTCAACCTGAACGACGAGAGCGCGTTTATTCAAAATCCGTAATATTCAAAAAATCCATAGGAAGATGGTCAACAAGACTTAAAATCCTATTCTCTGATCTTAATAACTACGAACGAAAAGAAGATCAACTAGATTGTGGCAAGGAACAACAGGAAAAGAACTGAATGATTCAAAAATTGATTTTTCAAAAATTTCAGGCGTGAAAATGGTTACATTCAATGAAGCTTACTGAGATTTTATCAGCTTGCTTCAATTGTTGTGATTTTTTTTGGTTGATGCTCAGTTGTAAAATTCACAAGCAGTCAGAAACCAATGCTTCTGAGTCTCATGGAACCAACCTTTTTGACATAAAGCGTTGCACTATTCGAAGCCAAGAAACACATGCTTAGATTTTGATAGTATTCAGCAGTAGAAACGAGGAAGGGTGTTTCGAATTCATCCACGTATACATCGTGTGAATGAATGCCAAGGTTGACCAGCATCTGACATGCACTCTTGATTCCCGTCCTAAAATGTCAAATATTGCCCTTTATTGGTCCAGAGCCAATACCTGTTAAGTTTATTCGGAATCAATTTTGTCCATAAATATATCAAATTGGCCCAAAAGTCTTGCACCAGGATATACAAAAGAACTTGTTTCAAAATTGTTGAAAAGGCGTTTTAACTAATTTTTGTAACTAAAGATTTTCTAAGGAGAATTCAAACAACGTCGAAAAACATAACTAGTTGTAGATGAAGCGATCAGCACGATTTCGTATTCTTTAAAAAGAATGAGTCATAAAAACGTAATCAAAAATAAACGGCAATTTTTTCGGCATTTTTAACACTTTGAAAACTTACAGTTCAACTTTTTCTATTTATTAGCTTATATCTTTGCGAAATGCCAATGTGGACCTTTGCTAGAAAAATTTTTGGAAAGTATAAAAATTCCTCTTTCTATGCTTTGAAGAATGAAACAAATCTGCTCGCATTAGAAAAAAAACTGCGAGTTCTCAAAAATCTCTGTGCAAGCGTTATGACCAACCCTGGTGAATTGCAAAACCAGGAAAAAGCAGGAGATAGCATCGATAGTGGATGAACCGACTCCAATGCGCACGCACATGTATGAATTTTAGAAAACGATGCTCACCAATTCACAACAGCTCCGCGACGTTCCTGCTGTATAAGGGACAACAAGGTTGTCCTCAGATGTGCGTGAATATTATCTTGATAAAGAACTTGATCGCTGTAACAAGTAACCCTTAGAAAATGACACACACAATCGCAAACAAAAGTAATTAAGGCACCAACCGGAAGATTGCAAGGCCCAAGTGAAAAACTTGCTCGACTTTGTTCTGCTCCACATAAACGCGATCCATGTACATCAGAATGTCACGTATCATAACCTGAAACTAGAAATTTCTAGCATCATCGTGTGCTGTGGCTGAAACAAAGAATAAGCAAGAGTGTTTTAGTTCGCGCCAACAATCGCGCTCAATTTTGACTTCCACTGAGATCTGTACAAAAATAAAAAACCACCTAAAAGCTTCCAGAATCAATAACAATCATGTAAACCTGGGAAGACTTCCAAAATCAATATTTGCAAATTCCTAGTATGCATCAAAAGGCAATTAAAGCAGTTTCTGTAATGTTGCAAACAAGGACAGTAATGTCACGCATTAGTTGAGACAAATCGCACATGTATGAAACCAAGGGCGGTACTCAATCTCAATTTCCCGATCTCTCATCAGGCGATGTTTTACCCTATAAACGAGACCCACCATCCGATTGGGCACTCGTCTATACCGGTAAAACAGCGCCGGACCAGAGAACAGATTGATGAGTACCCCTAAGTTTCACAATGATAATAAAGAATCAGGAACGTACCATTGCAGTTGTGTGATCATTCCAAGCCTCATTCATAACTTCAAGAAAGTTACCAGTATCCAGAGATTCAACTATCTTCACCCGAACCTAGAACAAAGGATGAAATTCCGCAATCACTTTCACCGCAAATTTCGAATACGTAAATGGGCATAGTAAAGCAGAAAAGCATTGTTCCACGCTCGAAAAAAGAAAATCAATACGAATGGATATAAGTCAACTCACGAAGTTTCTCAAATGGTCTTCAACAACTTCTTTCAATCCTGTGTATAACCGTTCTCCATACTTGTGCAACACCTAAAATGAGAAGAAATTACAAGAGCAAATAAGAAATGGTCAAATCACGACCCACAAAAGGTTCAGTAAATCCGCAATGACCAAAAACTTTGTGATACATGCAAAAATCATAGTCATGAAAATATCTAGACTTGAGATAAGAATGAAAAAAACGTGCTTGACTACACAGCGTGCTTGACTACTACTTTTTAAGATGCTTCCGTGTTTTCTTCGTTTTTTTTGCTTACCATGGTGTATGCATTCCTATACAACTCCTCGAAGCTGAGTCCAGAGTTATTTTTGCGTTGGATCTCTTGTATGGCCTTCTTCAACATCTCCCACACTTGCGTCACGTACTTCTCGTCCATCGCAGCCTGAAAATCATCATGACCTCGTTAACACTCGCACTCGTAATGAAGTAAGTAATGATACCGGAAAACTGCGGATCCGCATCCGGTTGCCTGTCCCTGACGCCTGCGGCCGCACGGACATGGTCCTAAATGTAAGAATGTGATTGTAGCTGACATGGTCCTAAAGACAAGAACAGAGCCCAGCACGAGGTGGCATTTGAGAATCTTCGAAACGACTTTGACATTGAAGGAATTTACGAATAATCCTTTGTGGTTTTTGTAGAAGTAAGGCTTATGATGTGCAGCGAATTGTGAGTGGATAAAATTGAAGGAAATCAAGAAGGTTACAGATAAAACACAGAAGGCGAAAAAGGGGAGGTTTGATCATTGGGGGCCTTAGCAAAGCAGAGGTAATGAAACTCATCATTCATTCTCTGACTAAAAGAGCGACCACGCTTTGTGATCAACAAGTTCATAAATGAGTTCTAACGCGTTCTGGCTGATTACTATTAGGAATTCGTGAAAGAATGTGTTCAAGCCAACGGTTGGTTCAACAAGCTCAAACATGTTCCTCCACGAATTTCAATAATAAATCAACCAAAACGCGTTGGAACTCATTCATGAACTTGTTAATGAAATGTACGCAAAGCGTGCTCGCGTCTCTTAGTCAGAGAATGAATGATAGGTCAAAATGCGTGCTTATAGGTGGAATAGAACGTGAACTAAAGAAGAGACTTGTATAAAAATTTTTTGAAATTATGTCACGAAGGGAATAAATTATGATCTTGACTAGTCCCGCGCAACCTCAGGGTGCTCCCGGGTTGCGCGGAAGCAACATAAACTAAAAACACAACTCTTTTCCTTCACATAATTTTTTCGTAACTCATACTTCTGTTTTACATCGTCGCGAAGCTATATACCAAATCTGATGGCTAAATATATTGCTTAGCCTTAACAAACAGACTGATTTTTTGTTTCTTGTGTATGAAGATCTTGCCTTAACACCTGAGAATGTGGCAAAAAAAGTTCTACGAATCGTGCTTGTAACGTGTTAATTTACTTGTTACTGGTAAAGTGACTTTAGAGCCTAGAATTCGGATTTATAATGATTGTGCGTGCCAATACTTCGTCAGATCCGGGAAACACTCCTGGAGACTTTACGATTTCTCTTTTGCCTTCCCCTCAAAAATGATATCGAGCGTGTGAAAGCGCCCCTCTACTGAGCCTTGGCAAGAACATAAACTTCCGCGCTGCGTATATGAAAGAAGCAAAGATGCGAAATCAAAAAGCAAGATTTATTGACAGCTGTCTGTCATCACTCCTCAAAAGTCACGCAACATAAATCTCCTGCAATGACTCATTAAACGGTTTTGGTGTGGCTCAAGGTATGAAAAAGAGAAGCAACGCATACATTGCACCGTTACAGACTTCGCAATTCTCATCATCAAAGGAGACCGAAAGTTGGACAACTCAAACTCTTCTGTATGCAAAAACATCACTGGCATAAAGTGAAGCTTATAAAAGAGAAAGAAAGAGAAACATGCAGGCACAATAGATCCAGATGACAACAGCACCCGAGCGAATCCACCTCAGCCATAATTCGATCAATGCGTCACGTCGGTGTGATGTGTGTAACCGCACTTCGCACACTGATATGTCAAAATGTTGTCGCCTATTTCGAGTCGGCTTGGACCGCACTTTGTTTGAATGATCTGGACGTTACGATGAAACACTTGTCATGGCACCTATCTATCTACTTGAATAAGAGACCGGTACTATTCCAGAACCCAAAAATTCAAAACCTCGGATTTTGCTAAAACTTGGCATACAGGGGTTACTCGACATGCTGGTCACGAAAATGGTATTCGTTTTGCATGAAAAGGCCATCTTTGTGGGGTTAACGGCAGGTATATGGTGTGGGGTCAAAATCATAGATTTGGCTGAAACCTGGTCTAGGGGTGCTATTCGGGCCGCTGATGCCAAATATCACCTTGGTTTTGTACCATAGCGTCATTTTCTTGGGTTACGGTAGGTACACGGTGACCGGTGGAAAACCTAGTTGTGCCTGAAACGGGTGTACGGCGATTCGGACGATCGTGAAGCTTTGCACACACGATCAGCGCCGCACGCTACACACACTGCGGCTTTTGCCTAAGCGAAGCACAGGGAGAAGATACATTTGCCGATTTGTGATTTTACCCCTGCCGTAAACCTACCGTAACCATGCAGGGAGAGTTTTCGTGCGGAGAAATTATGATATTTCTAATCAGCGTGTCGAATAACCCCTCTGTGCGAAGTTACAGGGAATTTTGAGATTATGACCCCCTACCGCATACCCACCGTAACCCGAGAAAATGACGCTACGGTACAAAACCAATGTGATATTCGGCGTCAGCAGGCCGAATGACCCCCGGGCTAAATTCCAGTAAATTCTGGGAGTTCGACCCCACACCGTATACCTACCGTAACCCCACAAAATGGAAATGAATATCATTTTCAGCATGTCGAGTAACCCCGGTGTGCCAAGTTTTAACGAGAGATCCGAGATTTTGAATTTTTGGGTTGCGTATTCCGGAATAGCGCCAAGAAACCTTCAAAACAGAGTCTAGGTCCACTTCATGCCGAGTATTGAGAATACCCATTTCCCAAAGCCTTAGACTGGGTTCGTACTGTTGTAGCAGCTTCACCTCCTTCTAAGGCCTAAGGCATACTTTCCGCGATTCCTTTATATCGCCACATCCACGCGATTTGGCGATTTGCCAGATGTTTACAGATTAACCGTGCGCGAGTTCCAAATGTGTAGGCACATAGTATGTTGCATAGGTCAGATCTTTCCCAAAATCGCTATTCACATTATGACGTTATCAAAAAACCAGTGCGTCACCTCTGCTTCGCAGAGGCTCGCACTGGCTCTACTATCTTGTGCCTTACTCATTCTCGTAAAATCGTGGCAATGGAACTTACCGCACTATGCCGACTACCACGAATTAAATGTAAACAGCTACTCATTCATAAAGTTTTTTCACGTGAGATCGGTGATTTCGCGTGGATGAAACTTTTCGTAGGAAGACAAACGCAAATTTGAATAGGTTTTTGAAGTTGTCATGGCTTGGTAGTCCCCTTAAAGGCAATAGTAACCGTGAGCTACATCTCCGTGCGAAAATCTTTTGAAACGCTTAGCTAGAACCTTAGCAAATTAACCATTTACGCAACCAACTCTTTCTGGCGCCGTTTTCGTTATGTAGCAAACTTTTGACCACTTTTTGGGCTAAAGTCCATCGCTTGCACATTTGCTTACCAAACACATCCAGGACTTTGCAAAAAGTGGTGATATGGACCCAATTTTGCGGGACAGAAGCCAGGTGGATCCGTTTGGCGCGCAATTTCTGAGGGACCCATTCAACGAATCTATTCGTGCTTTTGCACGTTGAACTTTCATGAAGGTAGCATGCGCTATGCAAAATTTGGGCTTGAAACGCTGGCTGGAACACGCTCTACGAATTTCGTGACAGACGGACATACACACACACAAAAACACGTAAACAACCCTTAGCCCGTTATTATAAGGTCTTGATTTGAGAAAGAAACACTACGAGCTAAGTGTATCCTGATTCTTACCTTTTCACACATCTTTTTCAGTCCAGCGAAGAACTTATTGCTCTTAAAAGGACGATTGTATGCGCGGCATATTGACAAAAGCAGAAGTAAGTATGCTTATTCGCAGCTATCGTTAACGCGCGCTCAGCCTCTGTCTTTTGCAGTAAAGCGTTATTCTTTTATTTATTTACCAGTCCAAAGCGCCGCTTTGCGGCGCTTTGGACTGGCTGTTTGTGAAGTGGGATGTGACTGTCAAAGTTAGAACGTGGAAACCTTTTCCTCACCAAAATATGGCACGGATTTATCAGACATTTAACGAACCCAGAGATCATCGAAGTTAAGTGTCAGGAATCTTTCCTGATCTATGTGGTTTCCTAAGTATTAGCAGATGCCAACAGATTTTCAACTGTTTCCCAAACTGCCATTCTTTTCTCGCATTCTCACATTCTTCAGATCTTGATCGCTTCCGAATCTCGCCCCAAAGGTGCTGTTGAGAAAATGCGAACTTAATAGTCTTTACAGTCTCCCCCCCCCCCCCGAATCAGTCCAAAATTGACATGATGCGCTGCGCACGCCAAAAATTCTCGTCATGTCTGCGGTTTGCTAATGGTTTTAATGTTGGGACCTATCTGTTCCCTCCTTTTCTTTGAACTCTCCTACAACGGAAATGTAGTGCGAACCCTTGACTCTGGCGTGCGGTTTCGAGTAAACGTTTCAGCTGATCACCTTTCGACAGACTGTAGCTGTCAAAGTTGCTCATTCACACATTTTGCAAAGATCCTCCAGTACCCTCAAATTTCCACAACCAGAGTTTTCTGACCGAAGCAGCCGTCACAAACTCGGCAACCTTTTCCCCCATGTGCATTCTCTTGACTGTTCTCAGCCGGGACCTTGCTCTCCGCCTACGAACTACCTCAACGTCTCACTTTTATAAAACTTCTCTAAATAGTATTTTTTTGAAAATATCCAGCCAAAACTCAGATTTATGATTCTAAAGTTTGTCAAATTAAAAAACATCCTCTACGCAAAATATTCTTTTTTCGAAGCGGGCACAACTCCTCTCCAAAAAAATTTAAGCCAAATTTTCCTTTTGCTTTTCATATCGGGTTCTGACAAAACTGCGCTGAAAACTTGCAACCACATAGTCTCGGGTCAACAAGATTAATGGCAAGTAAAGCCGTTCCATTTCATCTTGTCCCTTACTCACACCTATATGATACTGTAGGGAAAAGTCCCCGCGATCGTGGTTGAAGTTTTTTTTTCAAATTTATTTTCCTTTTCTGAGAAAAATCCAATTCTGAATTGGTGTTTTGTTAGAACTTACAGTTTTCTAGCTAAAAGAGCTTTTCGCATCCAATGTGGAAGTTTCAAAGTAATTTGCATTACCACGCTGTTTATTTAGAAAGACATCGTTTTTTATAACTTAGCGGACAACTATCTAAAAATTCAGGCACTGTTGCTAAGCAGGGAATGGTTAGAAGTCGAAGTGGCCAAACCAAAGAAGCTGTATATCATTCCATGCAGTATAAAACGCTAACTTCGAATCTGTCT